GATAAGTTATGGGCATGCGCGACTCTGACATACCCTTTATTTATAAAAGATACGATTTTATGTAACGTTTAAACTTGTGTAGAAATGTATTATATTTTACTTGAGCTAGTAGCTGATTCTAATTTATGAAACTCATTATGTGTCGCAAACGAGTTGCTGTACTTGAAATACCCTTCAGATCGAGACAAGCGCGTTTGACCCAGCTAGCCGCGCAGCTGCATCTAAAATTACCCCCAATTTGCAGAGTAGAAAATTACCTAATACGCAAAAACGAGCTTTGACAAAAGCTTTAAAGCCGGCTGGATTGTGTGGCATATGCGACGCGCGAAAGCTCCTGCTCTATATTAAAATCCAACCTCAAGTTTATTTTTGAACCGAATGACTTTTCAAATGTAGCGCAGTCAAACAAACAAAATCACATATCATCGTGTGTGCGCGAAGTTTGGCGATCACTAAAAACAAAAGCAAAAAAACTACATTCTCAGCTAAATGACTGTCCGTTTGGTCGCAGTGGGGCGAGTCAGTGTGACGAGAACCTTTGACTGGAGAGGAAGTGCTACGAGCTGAGCTAATATGTCAAAATTAACGCGTCTACTGGTGCTGCTGCTGGCCATTGGCGGCGGCATGCTCTACAAGCGTCTGAATAACCTGTGGGGCGATCTGCCGGCGCCCACGCTGGATCCACAGCAATGGTGGGGCGATGAGGAGCAGCCCAAAGATTATGCCGCCTATCTGGCCAACAGTTCCGAGGTGGTGAACAATCGTCTCATGTACCCAGAGACGGTAAGTGATACTAGAGAAATTACCAAAAAATATTAGGCAGATATAAAGTCGTTCTGGCTACTGAATTTGAACCGGCGACTTCTCGCTTGTTAGTCCAACGAACTGAGAGTGAGCCTTCTCCTACTTGGAGGTCTTATTTTCCAGGACACCCTCTTTTATATATATATATATATACTCATGCTGCTCTCTTCCTCTTTCTCTCTCTCTTTCTCTCTCTCTCTCTCTAATGGTCAGACCATTGAGGCTTTGACTAAGCAATTGAATCGCACGCTACGCCTGACACCGCCCCTTGAGGGCGTGGCCTTTGAATATGGCTTCAATAGCGACTATCTGAAGGAACTGGTCGCCTATTGGCGCGACGATTACCTGCCGCGTTGGCGCGAACGTGAGGTCTTCCTGTGGCAATTCAATCACTTTACCACCGAAATTCAAGGGTGAGTGCCGGAATGATAAGCGCTTATCACGCTCATCCACTTGATAAGCTGTTATTTAGTCTACGCATGCATTTTCTGAACCTGATGGTCTACGATGAGAACAAGGTGGGCAAGAACCATTATCCGGTGCTGCTGCTGCACGGCTGGCCGGGCTCGGTGCGTGAGTTCTACGACTTGATACACATGCTGCATCAAAGTCATTTGGATCCCAATAACAAGTACATATTCAACGTGATTGTGCCCAGCTTGCCGGGCTATGGCTGGTCACAGGTAGATATGAATATATATATTATCGATTGATTGCCCTAATAATTATATGCCTCAATTCTCAGGGCACTTCACGGCCAGGTTTGGGCCCGGCTCAGATGGCTGTTATGCTGCGTAATCTGATGCTGCGTCTGGGGTATGACAAGTTCTTTATACAAGGCGGCGATTGGGGCTCCATTCTGGGCTCGCACATAGCCACGCTCTATCCGGAAAATGTGCTCGGCTATCACTCGAATATGTGCAACAATATGAGTCCCAGATCGACGGTGAAGGGTTTTCTGGCGGGCATCTGGCCACGCCTGTTTGTGCCCAGTGGCTTTGAGGATTTCTTCTTTCCCAAATCTCGCGAGCTAAGATATTTAATCGAGGAGAGCGGCTATTTCCATCTGCAGGCCACGAAGCCCGATACTATTGGCGCCGCACTGACCGACAATCCCGTCGGACTGGCCGCCTACATACTCGAAAAGTTCTCCACGTGGACCAATGCCAGCTATCGCTCCCTGCCCGATGGCGGACTCAAGCAGCGCTACAAGCTGGACGCACTGTTCGATAATGTGATGATCTACTATTTGACCAACTCCATAACGACATCACAGCGCCTCTACGCAGAGGGATATACCAGCGAGCAGCGGCAACTGCAGCTGGAGCGTGTGCCCACCTCTGTGCCCACGGGTTGTGCCCGTTTTAAGGGTGACATTATGCATTTTCTGGATCTACAGCTGCGGGAAAAGTATAAGAATTTAATACACAGCACCTACTATGCAAGGGGTGGACATTTTGCGGCCCTGGAGGTGCCCAAGGTCTTATACAAAGATTTCATCGAATTTGTTAAGAAAGTTGAGAGCAAATTTAAAATTAAATCTTTGTAAGTTACAAATAAAATTTGAATAACTGATATGTGCACATATTCAATCGTGTATCGATGCCAAACGATGCCAATCGATGTTGGTATCGATGCCCCAGCTGAAGCCGGTGTCACTTGATCCTGCCGCTTGGCGCCAGCGTTGCCACACTGTCAAAGCTCAATTAAAAAGGAAATGAAGATTAAACAATAGCAATTTGTAAGCGAGAGCAGTCGCAAAGCAAGCAAGGAAAGATAAGTCACAAGACTATTAATTTAATACAAAGTTATATTAATTCAAATACGTATAGGTAGGTAGGTGAAGTAGGCAATGAATTTAGGCACTGCCAGTTAGCCTATTTGCAAATAAACGACACTATTATAGAAATATAAATAAAAAATATATATATTTTTATAAAGCCATTTCGTGGACACGTACATCAAACCATAAATTCCCGAAAGCCACAAAGCCGCAGCTGCAAAAGTGTTACAGTAAATAGTCAATATACATATATATAAAGATATACAGTTACACAGATTGAAAGACGTGCAAGATGAGCGACCTGAAGCCAACTGTCTCGCTGACCAGCGCCAATGGGGAGAACATGTCGCGCCACCAGATGCTCGACTGGGTCAACAATATGGTCAATGGACATTTTAAGAAAATCGAAGAGATGGCTTCGGGTGAGCATAGCTGGAGGTGAGATTCACAAAACAGATCGGATAAAACAGCTTCAATTTGTGCTTCAGGTGTTGCCTATTGCCAAATGATGGAGATGATCTTTCCGAACTGCATCAATTTGAAGCGCGTCAAAATGTCGGCCAAGCTGGAGCATGAATTTTTCCACAATATGAAGCTCTTTCAGGGCGCCCTCACACGCGTCAAGCTGGACAAAACTGTGCCGCTGGATCGCTTGATAAAGGGTCGTTTCCAAGACAACTTCGAGTTCCTGCAATGGTTCAAAAAGTTCTTCGACTCGCAGGCGCCTGGCCTGGAGAATATCAAATCGGCAGCCAATGCGGTCCAGCCCAAGCCGATCAAGCCGCGCGCCATGATGAAAGAGGAGCCATCAAATGATTTTCTTGAATCCCAAATTGACGATTTGAATACAAAAATTGCCAACACAATTGAGACTCGCGATCAGGCCTATGAGAAGCTACGCAAGATTGAGATACTCCTCACGGAGATGATCAACAAAAACGAGCATGTAGATTTCTGCAATCGGATCTGCGAAGTGCTCTACAAGACCGATCAGAATGACAATGTCGGCACTGCCGGCGAGGATAGCCTGGACAGTGCCATTGATGACCTGAACGATGGGATGTATTAATGTATTTTAGGAACTGCTGTTGTATTATGCGAATTAAATCGATTCCATTTATTGTGTGCATTAGAGCATTATTGTCAATCATTGGGACCGGGGCTGCTCTCCTCAGAACTGGAGCCGGCATAGTCGCCCAATAAGCTGAGCGCTCCAGCAGCCGGCGATGTTGCTGCTGTACTGGGTGCTGCTTCTCCTGTTGCTGCTCCCACTGCCCATCCTTCTGCTCCTGTTTCTCCTGCTGCTTTTCCTGGCGTTTCCCCTGCTGCTGTTGCTTCTTCTGGTGTTCCTGCTGCTTCTTCTCCTGCTGTTGCTGTTTCTGCTGACGCCGGCTTACGCTTGATGCCCAAATCCTGCAGGTGCAGCTGTGTGCTTAGGGCTTTTTGTCGCTTTAGACCGCCAAATGTTGTTATCGTGGCGCCCGGTAAAGCTGGTCGCATGAGCAGATCGAGGCGCTGCTCCGATTCACGTTCCATGGCGCTTCTGGTTTGCAGTTTCATCAGTGCCGCCATTTCTCTGTCCTGTGGCGTCTCTGGCAACAGCGCTATGTCCAGACTGCTTTTGGCCAGCAGCTGACGATCCACCTCCTGTTGGCCCTTTAGCTCCTTCTTCTGCTCGCGGAATACTGCACGCAGTCGATAGTTGGCCACATAATTGTCATCCCAGACGCTCTGATTACGCTCGACCAGCTTTTGGAGCACAGGCTTGGCATCGGCAGCCGCTTTGACGTCCTTGGCCTGATGCTCCAGCTTGTACATGGCATCATCGAAGAGTCGTTTTTGCACCTCCTTGGTCTCGGGCACCACCTGCTCGTTCTGTAGCGGATCCCAGCGGTTCTCCTGGCGGCGCGCGCCCGATAGTATTACATAGTCCAGATTACCGGGATCTGTTTGGATCTCAAAGTGGTTGTCGCATAAATGGCATTTCATGCGAAACTTGTAAATGGGCGTGGTGTAGTACATGCCCACCTTGGTTTTTTCGGCATTGTAGCGCACACCCATGCCAATGTGATTCTTGCAGCCATCGCACCAGATATTGTAGGGCATCTCGAAGCGGATGATGATGATGCCCAGGTGGATTTTGCGAGCGCGCTCACGCAACGCATGAGTGCCCTGGAATTTGTTGAGTCCGCCCTTCTTCGGATCATAGTCGGGCGGATAGTATTTGTTTTGACCCTTTCGTTCGCCCATTTTAATAAGAATGCACAAATTCTTTCAAGGCACACACGAAATGTTTACGTTTACTGCTTACGCTGACTGGCGCCATCTGTCGTCCACAGCTGTTTCGTTTGTTTAGTTACGATAACAATTAATTAGTCGTGCGTAGCTCCAATACTAATCGATAGCTATCGCATACTTGCTCATTCCTAATATATGCATATAGTTGACAATACGCGTGTGACGGCGATCTGAGGCTTTTATTAACCCGTTTTTGCCACGTAAATTGCTTTGAATTAGTTTCGAACGCTGCAATTGCCATTGCAAAATGATTATCTACACAAATGAGGGCAATCCGCTAGGCCTGCAGCTTCTAGTGCTCGCTAAATTCGCCAAGCGGGCGGTCCAAGTGCTGTTGGTTAACCTAAATGGTAAGTCGAAAAAAATCCCCGCGAGCCGGCAACGTGCAACGTCTGAATAACAGTTAACTGATGCAACATTGCTTGCAACTTGCAGATGCCAAGTACAAGGATTTGATGGTGCTGCCCACGCTCGAACTGGACAATGGCTTGCGATTGTTCTCCACGGCAGCCATAGCGAAATATTTATTGGGCGACGAGGGTCAGCAGCGGGACGAGGTATGTGTTGCCCCCTAGAAGGTTAATTCAATTAATTGTAATATCTAATAATTTTAGTGGCTGGAGTGGTCCACAACACTGTTGGCGCCAGCGCTGGCTCACCACATGGGCGTCGGTCATCGCGCGGATCCAAACGCTTTGCCTGTGCTGAATGGTCTCGTAAAGAAGCTCGACGATTGCCTCAAGAACGCGCCCTTTTTAGCGGGCGATAAGCTAAGCGCCGCGGACATAGCCATCTGGTGCCTACTGGCGCCCGATGGCACACTGAAAGGTGCCCAGCACGTGGACAATCTACGCAGATGGTACGACAAAATGAAAGCTTTGCCTGAGGTGCAACAAGTGCTGGGCGAGCAGCCCTTAAAGGAGCTCAGCTTCAATGCGTTGCAGCAGGCAAATCGTTATGGTGGACTTCATCATGTGCCGCTCAAGCGTTCCAGCTCGGTTGATGCTGGCAAAGTGCTGGCCGAAACAGCTCCCACTGTGGCAGACACCATTACGGATGAAGAGATCAATGCGGCACGCGCTGCCTTCACATACTCTAAACCAAAGGAGCTGGCCCAAGCACGCACTGTTCTGCCAAAGGCTGGAGAACGCAATGTGCTCATCACCTCAGCCCTGCCGTATGTTAATAATGTGCCACATCTGGGCAACATTATTGGCTGTGTGCTGTCCGCTGACATCTTTGCTCGCTACTCGCGTGCAGCTGGCTACAATACGCTGCTCATCTGTGGCACGGATGAGTATGGCACGGCCACGGAGAATAAGGCTCTGGCCGAGAATATGACGCCGCGTGAGATTTGCGACAAGTATTTCGAGCTGCACAATTCCATTTACCGCTGGTTCGGCATTGGTTTTGATTACTTTGGACGCACCACCACCCAGGAGCAAACCGAGTTAGTTGAATTGAGTTTATATAAAGTGATACATTGTAGTCATGCTAGCATCTTCTGATTTCAGCATTGTACAAGAGGCTTTCCAGGATGTCTACAAAGCGGGCTACATACTCACCGAGAGCGTGGAGCAGCTGCTGTGCCAAAAATGCGATCGTTTCCTAGCCGATCGGTGAATATGATCTATATATGTTAATAACTGAAAAGCGTATAACTTTCCTTTTCACAGCTTTGTGGAGGGCACCTGTCCGCATCCTGGCTGTGGCTATGAGGACGCACGCGGTGATCAGTGCGACAAGTGCGGCAAGCTGGTGAATGCCACCGAATTGGTGCGTCCACGTTGCAAGGTGTGCAACAGCGCGCCCGTGCTGCGCTCCTCGGATCAACTGTTCCTGGATCTGCCCAAATCGGAGCCGAAGTTGCGCGAGTGGGTGGATCGTGTTGAACAGGGCTGGACGCATAATGCTCGGGTTATAACACGAGCCTGGCTACGCGAGGGCCTGAAGCCGCGCTGCATTACGCGCGATCTCAAATGGGGCATACCCGTGCCGCACAAGAACTTTGAGAAGAAGGTCTTCTATGTGTGGTTCGATGCACCGTTTGGCTATGTGTCCATGACCAAGCGTTACACCAAGGAGTATCTGCAGTGGTGGCAGCCCGCAGCTGGCACTAATGTGGAGCTCTTCCAGTTTATGGCCAAGGACAATGTCCCCTTCCATTCGGTCGTGTGGCCCAGTGTGCTCCTGGCCATTAACAAGGGCAACACGCTGGTCAGCCACATCATGGCCACGGAATATCTGAACTATGAGGATGGCAAATTTAGCAAGAGTCGCGGCATTGGTGTCTTTGGCAATGATGCCCAGGAGACGGGCATAGCCGCTGATGTTTGGCGCTTCTATTTGGCATCGGCACGTCCAGAGGGTCAGGATTCCAGCTTCAGCTGGAATGATTTGGCCGCTCGCAACAACTCCGAATTGCTCAACAATTTGGGCAACTTTGTCAATCGCGCTTTGGTCTTCTGCGAGAAGAATTTCAATAGCACTGTACCCCAAATTGTACTCAACCAGGACGAGCTGGTGCTCCTGGCGCTCATCAATCGCGAGCTGCGTGGCTACATCAACTCCCTGGAGAAGGCCAAGCTGCGCGATGGCATACGTCATCTGCTGGCAATTTCACGACATGGCAATGGCTACATGCAAACCCAACAGCCTTGGGTGCTGCTCAAGGGTAACGATGAGCAGAAGTCTCGCGCCGCCACCATCATTGGCCTGTGCGCCAATATAGCCTGTCTGCTGGCCAACCTGCTCTTCCCTTACATGCCCAGCACGGCGCGCACCCTGTTCGCTCAGCTGAATGCCAAGCAAACGCCACTCGATGCCAAGTAAGTAGCTCCAACGGGCATAATCCTGGAAATTTCATTCAATTTCTAATTGATTTCTAGCAAACCCTTGGCCACAATATTATTGCCGACGGGCCACAAGATTGGAAAGCCCTCACCACTGTTCACCAAATTGGAGCAGGCGTTCATTGATGAGCTCAAGGGCAAATATGGCGGCACGCAGGAAAGCAGGGCGGAGGCGCCACAACAGCCAGCTGAGCTGGAGGCAGCAGTGCAGGCGCAGGCCGACAAGGTGCGTCAACTGAAGGCGAGCACAAAAGATAAGACCGTTTGGCAGCCGGAGGTTAACAAGCTGCTCGAACTGAAGAAACAGCTGGAAGCGGCGCAGAAGACGACGCCCGCAGCAGCGGCTCCAGCTGCAGCCACACAATCTGTGCAAGATCTGGAAAAGGCTGTGCAGGCGCAAGGCGAGAAGGTGCGTCAGCTCAAGTCCAGCACAAAAGACAAGGCTGTCTGGCAGCCCGAAGTAAATATGCTGCTCGATTTAAAGAAGCAACTGGAGGCGGCCAAGGCAGCGCCTGCAGCTGCCGCTCTAGCCGCTGCGCCAGCAGCTGCACCAGCGAACGCCGCCGCGGATGCGGGCAAAATAAAAGCACTGGAGGACAAAATCGCACAGCAGGGCGAGAAGGTGCGCAGCCTAAAGGCCAGCGGGGATGCGACCATTTGGAAGCCCGAGCTCGACGTGCTCCTAAATCTGAAGAAGGAGCTGGCGGCGCTGACTGGAGCACCAGCAGCTGCCACGCAGAGCAAGAATAAGAAGAAAAAGTAAAGCTCAGTCATATATTTACAATATTCAAAGGTTGCAAACTTCTCGTGAACAAGTCTATTCATTTTTTTCATTAAGTTATTTCGCGTTGCTTTTGCATTTAAAAAATCGACCTATATTTATTTACAAGTATTGCAGAAATTTCTTTTAGTAATTTATTCAGTTTGTGAAAATAGTAAATATATATTGACAATGATATTATGGAAAGTTTTTTAATGTCTGAAAAGATTCTAAAACTGCCAATAAATCAGGATTACAAAAATATTAAAATCAAAATCTAACAAAATTTAGAGTCTATTAGATTGTCTACGTATATTTTCTTATGTTTTCTTATTTGGATTATAATTTAAAATAAATTCCAGATTCAATATAAATTTAAGATTTAAAAAAACAAGTTTTGTTTTGAACAGAATGATCCAAATTAAAAAATCAAAAGTTTAAAACTGGTAATATATTTTTTTTTAATTCAATAAAGTAAAAAACGAATGATACGAAGTTTATTATTATACAGTCAAATATCGAACGAAAGTGTCAAGTGTCATTCCGCCATAACTAAGCAAAGCTATCGATATATCGATATTTTTGACAACATAGAAAACATACAGCTCTGGCAAAATACTGAAAAAGTACTGAGCGAAAAACTCTGTCATCGTCATCGTTCATTGTCTTCTCATTAATTGCTTGAAAAAGAAAAAAGGCCGGATTAACTTTAATATTAGTAGAAACTAAATAAGTTTTAAACCATATTGGTAGAAACCTATGCCAGTTACAGTTGCCGTGCATCCCCATCTACACACACATACGGAATAACACAAGTTGCGATAGTATAAAAATAACAACAACATCATCAAAACCAAACACTGCCCCGAATTCGTGAATCACCAACAAAATTATGGAACAAACACAGATTACAGATGCGGAAAAGGTTCGCATTGTCTCCGACTTTATATTGCATGCACCACCCGGTGAATTCAACGAGGTCTTCAACGACGTCCGCGAGCTACTAAAGAACGATGCCTTGCTGAAGGATGGCGCCAGCCACGCCTTCTCCCAATACAACAAGGACCAGTTGACGCCAGTGCGGGTCGAGGGCAGTGAACACAACGCGATCATCTCCGAATATAACGATTTGGGTGCGTATTTCAACATTTACCAAACACCGACTTTTCTTTTTTACCTTGGGGGAGGAGTAAGAGTGGGCGTCAGCTGGTGAGAGTTGGTTCCCGTATGTTTCGTGAGGCTTACCATATATGGGCATAAGCTTCAAAATGCAGCCAAAACACACAGACCTACATGCATACATGCATACAAACATACAAACACTGACGACACTTGGTTACACTGAAAACAATCGATGTTTAATTGGACACAGCTGAAATTTCAAAATTGCTCGTATAAAGTTCATAACTTCATATATTATTATTTTTCCAATAATTTAAAATGAAATCCTTGATAAAAATGTTAGTTAAATATTCCTTCAAAAATTAAAATTTTTTAATATACAACCTACAGTCGTCCATCGGAAATTTTATTTCGGAATTTATTTTTATCAACAGTTAGTTGATTGATAAGAATTTTTTGATCACAAGAATTCATTAATATATCTAGTGTTCCTTATCGAAAATGATACTAAATATAAATATATATACAATTGTACAATTTGTTAAAGTAAATATTTATACAATTTTCAGGGAACGGTCGCTTCTATGATCCTCGCACTAAGCAGTCCTTCAAATACGACCACCTACGGAAAGAGGCGTCCGACTACCAGGATTTGGAGGCCGATGCTAACGCGGAGTCGTGGCGCGCTGCCCTGGACCTGGCCACCCTTGCATATACCGCCAACCACTACAGGCACGGCGTAAGTATTCTGGCAGGCCTAGATTTCTGATTTATTTTGATCATTTTTTTGCACACAGGTAAGCTCCGTGTTTGGCAAGTCGCAAGGCAACCAGGTGACGCTGACTGTTTGCATTGAGGACCATCAATTTCAGCCGAAGAACTACTGGAATGGCAGATGGCGTTCGCAGTGGCACGTCAGCTTCCAAGCTGGCAGCGGCACGGCGGAACTGAAGGGTGTGCTTAAGGTGCAGGTGCACTATTACGAGGATGGCAATGTCCAGCTGGTGTCGTCTAAGGATTGTCGTGAGAGTCTTGTTGTGTCCAATGAACAGCAATTGGCCAATGAGGTTATACGTCTAATCGAGGAGGCGGAGAACGAATATCAGCTAGCCATCTCGGAGAACTACCAAACCATGTCGGACACCACGTTCAAGGCGATGCGCCGACAGCTGCCCATTACCAGAACTAAGATCGACTGGAGCAAAATCGTTTCGTACAGCATTGGCAAAGAGCTGAAGACGCAATAAGACAAGGAGCAGCAAGCGGAAGCCGAAGGCGCGCCAGCATACCCGTTGCCCATGGCAGTGCCGGCGCAGTCGCAGATAAAAAGACCCAACAGTCTTCCACTTGCAATGGCAAAGCGAGAAAAGTGAGCGGGAAAAGTCGCAGCAAGAACCTTACACTATCTATTTACGATCGTTAAATGTTGGCGCTTATTTAATAACTGTCTTTAATTTGCTTATCCTTTACACATACATACATCTATATAAATATATATATATATATACAACATACATACATCTATCTGTTATAATACGATGAAAGTGGATATATGTATTTATAAACACACACACATTTACATCAACTCTGTACATATGTATGTGCTACATAATGAATCAAATCAATTAAACTTGGATGATTGTCGTCAGACCGAAACCGCATTATAGTCACAATCGCCACCAACAGTCGCCTTTATCGTTTAATTAAAGCATTAAGCGCGTGTTTTTAATAATATTAATAATAGTATGCATGCACTTTCAATAATGTATTATAAATTTAAAAGAGCATCGGTCCATATATAACCCATGACTCTCACTGAAGCTGGCATCAGTTAGATCTTAAGTGACGGCAACTTGCAACATTAACAGTATAAAGTAATTAACGATAACAATTTATAACAATTTTATTAAAATGAACAATAATTGAATGAATTCAACAGCTTATTAACACATAATGATGGCAATTGCAAGATAATTTACAAAACTACAAATAATGTGCGCTATCAAAATAACAGAGCGCTTCATAAACAAGACAAAAACCGTTTCTTTGTTTACAAAAAAGACTTGGTTTTTTTTTAAATGTTTGTATACTAAAATTGTATTATTACAAGTTTAAGAATGCTTGAATAGACAAATTTAAATAAATTCCAAGTGTTGTTTATCGCATACGGCCTCCATCTGCGGTCTGGACATACGGCGTTGGCTCCTCTGTCTGATGAAGGGGTTGCGGTTGAGGATACGTTTGTTGTTCGTAATGGGGCTCCCCGGCAGGTAATTCCGTTGGCTTCTGTTGACGATGATTCTCTGGCATCTCCTGATTTTGACTCTCGAGCTTGACATATTCGTCAGGTTTTTTGAGCAAGAATCTCTTGTTGGGATGCTGCTTAGCCTCCAGCTCCAATCGATCTATGAGCCAGCCTCTTTCACGATTATTTGTCGCCCAGAAGAAAACGGTCCCTTTATCCTTTGGGCCACGTACTGAAATTTCGAATTGGGCCTTGTCCGCGTCACACGTGTTATTCACATTGGACAAGTCGAAACCCGAATCTTTAATAGGTTCACCCAACAATCCAACAGCCCCTGCAAATTCACTCATTGTTATTGTTTACAACTGATGGGCGGGCCGGTTCAATATGCTTACCCTTGTGCTGTCGCAGAGTCTGAAGGGCCAATTTGTAATAATCTGTCGATCGTACGCGGTCTTCCAGCTTCCAGCGCATGAACATCACAGCCGAAATGGACGCAATGGCGCCATATACACATATGTTGCCCAGTGTCCGGTTCGATGGCAGCCGCAGCTTCATTGAGGGCATTTTGGCAATGGCATCTGCTCAACTTGTATAATTTTGTTATCGTACTTTGCCGGTGCGCGGACGATTTCGATAGGTTGCTACAAGTGTGCCCGTATACTCATTTGCAGTCTTACACAGTTATACAACAACCATGTGGACAGTGTTAGTTTTGTTATTAAAATGAGGCTGCATGCATTCGGAAGTAAAATTGAATTTTAAATCGTAGCCGAAAGTAAAGCCTACTAAAAATGAACAATCTAACTTTGGCGTTCAATTTGCTCAGGCAGCGTCTAGCACTCACAGCAACACCTGTGCGCTATTATGCGGTCAAGCCAGCTGCCGCGGGAGCAGGTGAGTGTCCGCAGTAATGCAGCCGGTGCTCATGATAATAATGCAACAATTAACAACAAAGCGGGCAAAAAGAAGAAGCTCGGCAAGCTAGGGCCCATAATGGAGAAGAAAGTCTTACCCGTCGAAACGGACGCCAACAAATTGGTGAGCTACGTCTGCGGCAGCAACTACATGAAAACCGGCGAGGACATTAAGGTAAGTGCACATGTAATATGGTTTGTCGCTGAAGCTAACGAGTGCCATTTGCAGCTCAAGCCGGACGCCGAGTACCCTGACTGGCTGTGGACCCTTAACACCGAGCGCATTGTGCCGCTGGATGAGCTGGACCCCAACAGCAAACAGTACTGGCGCCGCCTGCGCAAAATGGCGCTGCGACGCAACAATCAATTGTCCAAGCTGAGAAAGTTTTAAGTGAGGTATTTATTTGAGGCTAGGTGCTGGCCACACTTTTAGCTTGGCCTTCAATTGTTGTTCAAATAAATCATGAATCGTAGTCGCCGTTCTCAGGTCAGCCGAGAATTCATTCTATTTGCCTTGCTGTTGGTGCAAGAATAAACACTTAATATTTTTATTGCTACGTTTTTGTAGCATATGTACACATACATATGTATACAAACTTTTACTTTGACGACACGTTGCACTTATCGATTATCTTGTTGACGGACACCCCCAGAACGTATAAAATGCGAATGTACGGCGAATATGTGAAGTATTATTGTAAAACGATTCCGCAGACTCAGGTTAAATGTGGTCTCACATAGCATTGCTTTTTGTGCTGCTGATGGCTGTTGCAGGAGCGACGGCGCCGGGCAGTAAGTCCTTTTCCTGCTAACGCCCAATAATACTCATAGATATATTTGCAATCAGAACGCGTCGTGTGCTATCAGGGCACATGGTCTGTCTACCGGCCGAAGGAGGGAAAGTTTGGCGTGGAGGACATAGATCCGTTTCTTTGCACGCACTTGGTGTACGCCTTTCTGGGCATTCATGAGAGCGGCGAGCTGCGCATTATTGATCCCTATCTGGATCTTGAGGACAACGGCGGCCTTGGCAACATAAAGAAGTTTAATGCGCTCAAATTGAAGAATCCTACACTGCAAACGCTCGTCGCTGTTGGTGGATGGAACGAGGGCTCCAAACGCTTCTCTATTGTGGCTAACGATCCAGAGAAACGTTCTCGTTTTGTCGAGCAGATCGTTCAGTTTATGCAGCGACATGGCTTCGATGGCCTGGACTTGGACTGGGAATATCCAGGTCAGCGACATAAGCTGGCTAATAACGATCGCGACAATTATGTTACCCTGCTCAAGGAACTGAAGGCGGGCTTCGATCCCTTTGGCTACACGCTCAGTGCTGCCGTGGGCTCAGCTCAGTTTTCGGCAGAGATTTCGTATGATATACCAGCTATAGTTCAGTACTTGGACTTTATCAACGTTATGGCCTATGACCTGCACGGTTCCTGGGATAAAACTGTGGGCATTAATGCGCCACTGTTCGGCGGAGCGAACGCTACGAAAAAACGCGAGAAGCAGCTAAACGTGGATGCTGTTGTCAAATATTGGATAGGCGCTGGCGCACCGCCAGAGAAGTTGCTGCTCGGAGTGCCCTTTTACGGTCGCACATTCACCTTAGCTGCGTCCGATCAGCATGTGCCTGGCGTAGGCCATATAGGTCGCGGCATTGCTGGACCATTCTCGCGGGAGCCGGGCGTTATGGGCTATAATGAGTTATGCCGGCTCTTTAAGCAGGAACAGTGGACGCAGGAATGGGAGGCAGTGCAGCAGGTGCCATACGCCTTCAGAGACCGTCAGTGGGTGGGCTATGAAAACGAACGCAGTTTAATGCTCAAGGCAGAGTATGCTTTAGAGCATAAGCTTGGCGGCATTATGATTTGGTCACTTGAGTCGGACGATTTCCGAGGGAGCTGTGGCGGCAGCAAATATCCACTTCTGACTCAAATCAATCGTGTTCTCTTTGGCATGGACAGTCCAACTGGACTGAAAGCTGAACCGCAGCCAGTGGCACAAAACGAAATTGAGGATTATCGCTGCCAGGACAATGTTGGCTACGTTAGAGACCCGCAAAACTGTTCCAGATTCTATTATTGTAACGCTGGCACTACTTTCAAGTTTAATTGCCCCACGGGTCTTAAATTCGACCTCAACTCAAGTAGCTGCAACTATTCAGATTTAGTAAAATGCTAAACATGTTTTAAAGTACACAACCGAATGGATTTATTTGTACAATGTGTGTAAATCTTCTTAAAGCGATTTATACGACTACCCTCAGATTTGGGGGCAAGTTGTCAGAGTTGTAGCCATCTTCGCCTGGGCGCCAATTGACAAAATCCTGATTGCATTTTACCCCTGCAGATGGCTTGCACTGACCAAGTTCCTCGTCGAAGAACTCTCCTACTGAGCACTCGTAGTCAGTGCGCCTGGCATATTTACACTCATAATATGCCTGACAATTCCATTTGTTGCGGAATAACCCATCCTTTGGGCAGAGGCCGACACCGTCAGTACTGGGCGCTGCGGTAGTTAATATATTAGGGCTCCCTATGGTTGATACGACAACCTTGAGCAGTCCGTAGCTTTCCCCGCATATACCTTCGATATCGTCCGCATCGATGGACCACACCATCGCGCCACCCAGCCGTTGTTCCTTAACTAGGTGCATCTTTGCGCTTATACTGCGGCCATTCTCGAAGGTGATCCATTGGTCATACTTATAAGCATATGGCACCTGCGCCTGCTTGTCATATTTAATTTCCCACTTGGCTGTTTCCGCGCAGAATTCAGCAAACGTCATGAATCCCGCCCGGCTAGAATAAACGTGCTGCCTACCAGGACCCTTGCTGGGCGCACCCACAACCGTATTGCTTGCGTTTTCCAGAGTGAAGGTTTGCGCGAATAGTGGAATGCCAAGGATTAGCTTTTTCGAGATTTTGCTCTGCTCGACCCAGTACCGGACATCTCGCTCCACACTTCTGCTGCCGTTGCCGTAGAGCGGCGAGATGTATTCAACCTTGGGACCGTAGGGATTCTGATGGTCATAGGTATTAAGGATAATAAAGTCTGCGTGCTTCGCCATTTTAGGAAAGTCATAAGACCGGGGAGTAGCTTCACCCAGCCGGGCAGAAACGGCAACCAACAGGAGAAAGTGATATTCTTTAAGACTGTTTGGAGAGATCAGCTGAGGTTGGGTTATTGTTTAGGAAAGGCGCTTACATAATCTTTAGCTCTTTTAACAGGTGCACAAAATTGTCACGATCCTCAGAAGTCGGATTCTGCCAATCTAAGAGGACGCCACTACAGTTCCATTTGAAGAGGAAATTAATGAGTGATTTATAAAACTGATCGCGTTTGGCCATGCTCGCTGCCATCTTGGAGAACCTTTTCGCGTCATCTTTCATGCCGCCAACAGAAATGATTTGTTTACAGCTATCACGCCTCACGTTTACGATTTCCTCTAAGATCCCCGTTAAATGTTGTTATTTAGCTGGACATCTTTAAAAAGTTACTTACTCCGATTGTCGAGAAACTTTTGATTGATAATCTTCAAGGCGCCCGATCCCATCGGATCTAAGCGTGCAACTGACCCGAATACTAAATGCGTACAAAGGCGTACATTAATGCTCCATGAATCAAAAAAACTAGTTTTCTTGCGCTCGTAGGCCTCAGTATTCCAGTGACAGAATATCGAATCTACAGTTAAGGATTTCAGCTATATTCCTTGCCATATACACTTCAAATTTACTCACATTTTGTGTCCGAAGCGAGGGTAAAGAGCATCGAATCAACTATAAGAAAAACTACAAATAGGACTTTCATTATGCCGATCAAAGATTGAGAATACTTTGAATTTAATATTCGTTTCTATTGTGAGTATTGTGTTAGTACTTTTGAAATATTTTAGCGAAACTAACTTAGTTTGAGTATTTTTGTTCTGGATACGAGATAGTTCGTAAAATGTTTGGCGAGGGTTGCTTAAAATTGGATGCATTTCAAAATATATGAAATATGAGAGACAAACTTACAAAGAAAATGTAATTAAATTTCTACATATGATCAAAAAAATAGTTTAAGAGGTCGCGGTTCCAAGTGTCGATTTGAAAAAAAAACCTATTCGGTTATTTTGGAATAGGAAAGCATTTATGATTCTTTGGGCAAACTTAGGAGTTTTTTGGTCTCGTATATTTTCGAAATGAACCTTAATCTAAGCAATCTTTGCCATACAAGTTACACGCTCTGTTACATATACAACTCATACCGAGAAAAAACATAAACTTATACACTAAAAATTAGTTTCGCATGTTTTCAAAAAGAAACACACATTTCCTGAAAGGACTGACACACTATTTATTATAAGAAAGAATTTTAAATTAAAAGTTTTCTTAATGCAATTCCGATTGGCATAATGAAAGTCATATTTCTACTTTGCCTTATCGTGGGCTCGCTGATCTCCACCCTTGCGTCGGACAGAAAGTGTGAGTATATTCGGGTTGAATATGGCAAGGAATATAGCTGAAGATCCCTAATTGTAGATTCGATATTTTGCCATTGGAATACTGAGGCCTACGCCCGCAAGGAATCTAGCCATTTTAATTTATGGAGCTTGGATAGGAAGCTGTGCACGCATTTTGTATATGGCTCAGTAACCAGCTTGGACCCGAAGGGATCTGGGGCCTTGAAAATGATTAACCCACATTTGGTCGAAAAAAGGGGTAAATAACTTTTTAAAGATGGTTACCTGCACAATAACTAAAACCAAAATGCAACAGCGATCTTCAACAGTATCGTAAACATAAGACGTGATGGCTTTCAGACTATAATATCCATTGGCGGAACTAAGGATGATGCGAAAAGGTTCTCCAAGATGGCAGCGAACATGGCCAAACGCGATCAGTTTTATAAATCGCTCATTAAATTCCTCTTCAAATGGAACTGTAATGGCATCCTCTTAGATTGGGAGTATCCTACACCCGAGGATCGCGACAACTTTGTCAACCTATTAAAAGAGCTGAAGATTATGTAAGCGCCTTTCCTATACAATAAGTCAACATGAGCTAATCTTGCCAAACAGTCTACAGGACCATCATGTTCTCCTGTTGGTTGCCGTTTCTGCCAGGATGGATGATGCTACTCTCCGGTCTTATGACATTCCTCAAATAGCGAAGCACGCGGATTTTATTATCCTAAATACCCATGACAATCAAGATCCCTATGGCCCCAAGATTGACTACATCTCTCCGCTGTACGGGAACGGCAGCCGTAGTGTGGAGCGAGGTGTCCGGCACTGGGTCGAGCAGAGCAAAATATCGGAGAAGCTAATCCTTGGCATTCCACTTTTTGCGCAGACCTTCACCCTGAAAGACGCAAGCAACACGGTTGTGGGTGCGCCCAGCAAGGGTCCTGGTAGGCAGCACGATTTATCAGGACAGGAGGGATTCATGACCTATGCTGAATTCTGCGCGCAGGCGGCCAAGTGGGAGAAGAAATATGACAAGCAGGCGCAGGTGCCATATGCTTACAAGAATGGCCAATGGATCACCTACGAGAATGGGCAAAGTATCAGCGCTAAGATGCGCCTGGCTAAGGAACAAAGGCTGGGTGGCGCGATGATGTGGTCCATCGATGCGGACGATTTCTATGGCATATGCGGGGAACACTACGGACTGCTCAAGGTTGTCTTATCAATCATAGGGAGCCCTGATATTTTCACTACGCAAGCGCCTACAACTGAGGGTGTCGGCCTATGCCCAAAGCAAGGATTATTCCGCCACAAATGGAATTGTCAGGCATATTATGAGTGCCGCGATGGCAGGCGCACTAGCTACGAGTGCTTGAAAGGGGAATTTTTCAACGAGGAACTCGGTCAGTGCAAGCCCTCTGCAGAGGTGAAATGCAATCAGAATTTTGTCACCTGGCGTCCCGGACAACGCGGCTACAACTTTCACGATTTGCCCTTGAATCTGAAGGTACTCGAATAACTCGCCTTGTAACGAGGCTCACATGAAATACAAATAAATTCAATTAATTGTTTCGGCTGTGTAATCCCAAATTTGATGACATTTAACTTGATCTGAATAGTTGCAGCTGCTTGAGTAGCTGCTTGCTTCTGTAATTTGGACTTCTACTTGGAGAACGTATCCTAATAGTTACTTGCTGCAATGGATGGGAATGTCCAATTGTTCGGAATTGGAAGTCGAGAGTCCAGCGCAGAAATGGAGTTAAAGTAGGACTAGCTCATATTTCTAAAGTATTTCAAATACTTTTGTAGGAGACGCGTCTGAATAGACCGCAAGATCATAAGCATGGAGCACACTTATTTATGTATGTTTACATACAAATGCTTATTTTATGTGCATTTTACGTTGGAGCAATCATATTTTAATGGCCTATTAAATGTGGCAGTAAAACGAGAAGCGATATGGAAAACTCAACGTGTACCACAACCTTACTTCCGATTGTTCGCTCAGTTGGCGGCATATTGGGAGGGCAGGACATCCGGAAGTTTATGTGTAACGAATTTACGATTATTACTGAGTTAAAAACAAAGTCTATCGATTTTACGTCAGTTCGCTTGCATGTCAAACAGCTCCAAAAGCTGTCCTCATCTGTTAAAGCAGCGTCCAAACATTCCAATGGAAAACCCAGCGGGAACATTGATAATCTATACTCAGATATTTTTCCACATTTCTTTACTAAGAGAACAGTAAAATCTACAAAAGAAAAGGAGCCCTGTATTAAGAATTCAAAAAGTTTGTTAACTTGATATGAGACACAATTGAAAACTCTAGATACAATGAAAACTCTCGAAATCTGAGTACGTAATTTAAATTGTAACTTACTGAACATGGATGACAATTGGAAATCGACGTTGCATCTGGGCGATATTGATAGAGTATGTTGGAGACTGCAGTCCTCTAAATCAGAAGTGAGCTCTGGAATGGTGAGGTCAAGGAGTCAACTTATTCCATGCTGTTTTCTTTCAGGGCTTGTCGACAACGTTTGCAAAAAAGCGACTACTTTTGAATGGAAAGAATAAGTTCACGTTGCCCGAGCGGCCCGAATCGAAGTTGAGAAAGTTTTTGAGAAACTGCTTTTATGGTTTTGGAATTATATTGTTGATAAGCTTGATATTCTGTTTCATTTTGTATCATTTGAGACTGCAATCGCCGCATGAGAAATCCGATCCAGAATATTGCATAATCGGAGTACTTTTATCAATAATTTTCCTATTATCGGGTCTGTTTCGTTACCTACACGACAATGACGATTATGGCGTGGTCGCGGCTTTCAAGGATCTGATGCCCATGTATTGTACAGTTCGCCGCGATGGACGGAAGCAGATAATCCGTTCGGAAGATGTTGTTTTGGGTGACATCCTGCTGATCACCTATGGGGAACGCATTGCGGCAGATGTTCGATTCTTTGTCTCGCGCGATTTGGAAGTCAATAATGTGGCCCTCACCGGCTACTCGGTGCCCGTGATAATTTGTCCAGACCATACACATAGGGACAAATGGGGGTCTCGCAATGTGGGCTTTGCCTGCAGTCATGTAATAAAGGGCTACGGCGAGGGTTTGGTCATAGCCTGTGGCAATGATTCGGAGGTCGGAATTATGGCGCGGCTGAGCATGGAACCTCGTCCCTCCAGCAGACCCCGTCGGCATATTAAACAGGTCAGATAAGGTTTCGTAAAAGGATTATAAAATTCATATGAATTTCTGATTTAATGCAGGTCACGTTTTATACATATATCGTGAGCATATTGATGTTTTTTATCCTGCTTTGTACGATTTCGTTGGAGGGCCTGACCTTCCAGATGTTGATAGAGTTCAATGTGAGCCTGACGATTTCCCTGGCGCCCTTATATCTGCCCACCCTGATGTACTTCGGCCTGTGGCAGACGAAACGTACTCTGCTCGAGAGTGGCTGTTATGTTCGGAATATGGAGGCTGCCTCCACCCTGGGATTAACGACAGTTATATGCAGTAGTTTAATTGGAACTTTGACAATTCGCAGCTGGAGAGTCTCGGAGCTGTTTGCTGATGGTGAGCTCGAGAAGTCGGAACACCTGCGCGGAGCGGATCTGAATGAGCGTTTCTTGGAGCTAATACGCGCCTCAGTGGTGTGTAATAGGGCCTATGTGACTCCCGGCCAGAGGGGCGTGCCGCGCATGCAGAAGACTTTGGACGGTACCGACTATGAAAAGGCTTTGTTAAAATTTGCCATGCGCTTCTACCCAAGCATTTTGCAGTTGCGTCGCCGATATGAGAGATTGGCCAACAAACCGTACGACAAGGTGAGCCATCTGCAGGTCAGCGTACACCAAACTGTGGACGAGGATGGCGAGAAAACGTATCATCTTTTCGTGAGAGGCTATTGGAGTGTGGTTCTGCGCCTTAGCAGCAATTACTATGTCAAGAGCGAGCTGGTGGAACTGGACGATATTCGTCGAGATGCCATTGCTAATATTGGCATGAGGCTGAAGAAGGTTGGCCGGCATTCATATGCCTTTGGCTCCAAGGTGTTGAGCCCCGATGATCAAATGCTGTCGCTGATCTCGATCGGTTTTGCCTATAAAGAGAAGAAGTCGTTTGAGAAATTCATGAAACTATACTGCAACTCGCTGTGCTTTCTGGGCCTAATATCCATATACAATCCGCCCAGTATTAATGTGAGGCAGGCGGTGGATCGCTGCCGCTCAGCTGGCATCAAACTGGTGCTGCTGACCCGTGCCGAGCTGAGCTTTGCTCGGGCGGTCGCCAAAACTGTTGGTGTCATTGGCCAGGATAGCGAAACGATTGAAGATGTGGCGGCACGCCTCAACATACACGAGTCGGAGGTGAAGCGCAGCATGATCACAGCGGCTGCGATCAACATGCAGAACTGGCAAAAGAAGCTGCATCATCAGCGCTGGGACACACAGCAATTGCTGCTGGCCCACGTCGATCTCGTGTTTGCCGACATTGCTGTGGAACAGCGCCACATGATTGTCGATGTCTGCCAACAGCTGGGCGCTGTCGTCACCGTCATCGGCAGCTCCGTGCATGACACCTCCGCCATTCGGCGGGCGAACGTTGGCGTTGCCGAGTGCGCCTCCTCCCATGCGAGCCAATCCTCGGCTGATATTATTCTGCTGGAGGACAATTTCGTAACGTTGGTGAATGCCATTGCAGAGAGTCGTCTGCTGTTCGAGAATATGAAGAAGGCATTGGCCTATGCCATGTCCCCGAATATGGCTGTGATAATGGTGCACTTGTCATTTATTTTAATTATGATTCCATTTCGACTGTTTTTGATCATTCTGCTGCTTCTAGACATTTTTGTCAACACGGTAAGCTGTTGAGCTTTACAATATCTAATGGTATTTACGCTGCCTTCAATTTTTGCCAGTTGCCTGCCCTGTCGCTGTTCTATGAGCGTCCCGAGTTAGATCTCATGAATATGAAGCCGAAAGTCTTTGACGACTATCTGATCAACAGACGGTAATTCCGGCCCCGATCTTTTGTCGTGCTTCTTTTTAACAAGCCTCACCTATTTAGGCTGATTTTTGTAGCTTACATACAAGTGGGCATCGTTGAGGCCAGCGCCGTGCTAATCTCTTACCTTGTTTACATGGCATATAATGGATTTCTGCCAAGACAGTTGATGGGTCTCAGCGTGGATTGGTACGATGATTCCGTCAATGATTTGGTCGACTCCTATGGCCAAGAATGGGCAAGCTTCTATGTGGCATTGCCAAGGCGTTCATCTTAAGCCCACTCTCCACCTTTTATTGCAGACTAGAGAGGCTCGCAGGCAGCTGGAGTATGAGATATCCACGGTTGTTCTCATCACCTTGATTATAATGCAGTGCGTCAATTTGATATTGACCAAAACCATACGTGCAGATCTCTTGAAACATGGCTTTGGCAATGTTCGCTTGAATATTGCCGTCGTTTATATGATCTGTCTTGGCTTTCTGTTCACCTTTCTAAATTGTCCAGACTATTTGCGAACTTCGCCTGTGAAGTGGGTCTGATGATCTTTTGAGCAATATCATTTCTCTTAACTCCTGTTTTCGCAGCTATTCACCGGTATTCTGGTATATTTTACCACTGATTGTGTTAAATATATTTCTAGAAACCGCTCGTCGTTATGTATTGAGACATTTTCCCGGCAGTTGGCTCGAGGAGGAGATGTTATACGGATATTTATAGACAATTGTTTCAACTTCCCTGTTGCCGGTTTCCTGCTACCAAAGCATGCTAAACAGACAGATTAAAACTGTCCATACAATCTATTTAAATGTACTTTGGGCGATTTATCTGTCAGCTAAATAAATCAATGTATGGAAGCCAGACCTATTTTGATATTTTATAAATATTGTTTAAATAGGTCGTACTAGATTTAAACTAAACTATATCATATTTCACTTAGTAACAAGTAAAGGTACTCCAGTCGAGAGATACTTCTTACTTTTGAAATATTTCTTGAATAACTCGGGTGTCTATAGTCTGAACTGAATAATATTTTTGGACAATAAATCTTGCATCCGAATATGTGTAAATATGAAAGCCCAAGGCTTTAACTTGAAAAAGGAGAACATTTTCAATTATGTGGAGAAAAGGGGAATTTATCCAACAAAAGTGAGATGTTCTGTTCTACACCTAAGTCTATACAAAAAGAAATATGTACAAATATACATATATACAACTATATATATATATAAATGTAAATATATTGGCATCTTTAGCTGTTGTCAGCTACGATATATGGTCTGAAAAATAGGATGCAGATATCGATTATAGTCTCGATCTCTAGAGAGTCATTCGTGGAGCAGGGTAAGCTCGCAGCGGGTTACAGGGTATCTGCCTGTTGCATTCTTTTAAATATTTAAAAAATGACCAATTGATTTTCATACCTGTTTGGCCCCAGGCTCTTATAGATATTTGAAGTAAAAAGCATTGAAAATGTCCGGGATTTATTGTATGTTTAAAATATTGCATTTATTTTTGAATAGCTCGAAGCTGTGGTGGTTGGTGTAGCTGCAATTACTCACATCAATATTGTGTGTACGAGTACCGTTTAAGTTAATTAATTATTTAATTAAATTTGCATATTAATATCTGAGTTTCAACTACATGCAGTTATTTATGTAGGTACGAGTAATCGTGTTTTTTTTTTTGGTTTGCTTTTTTTGTTATTTATTTGTTTATTTAGGACTTTACACGGTTGGTTTCTTTCAACATCAATATGAATATTTGGTTTTATTATATTCTGTTTTGCTTGTAAATTGTAAATATGCCTTTTGATTAAACTGTTGAACATTAATGCATATACTCTATTTATGTTTGTATGTATTTCGTATTCGTATTCGTATTCGTATTCATATTGGTTATACTTAGTTATGAATGCATTTGGGTGCACATTTGGATTTTATAACGTACGTACTCAGCATATTTTTACCTCATCTATCGAGTATTCGAAATCAATATATTTAGTTTTTAACGAGACTGGGCTAAAATTCCTTTCATTTTGTGCAAAATAGATAATGTTACTCCAATCCATGCTAATCTTAATTATTATTATTCCTCTTATTTTGCAGAAACTAATGGAAACGCATTTCAATTGATGATCTTTAAAACTTGCTGAGGATAGTCTCAAGCTCTTCGAAATCTATGTAAGCATCAATTTAAATAATTTGAAGAATTGCTAATTTATAAACATTCTCTGCAAAAAGATTGGCGTAGAATTCGTTGCATTCGATGTTATTTCAAACTTTTGTCTGTGTTTTAACTGAAACCGAATAATTTTTGTATGTTAACGACATTTGCTTTGGGTTCAATATGAAACTGAAGCTGAAGGCGGTGGGATCACTCTGATCACTTAAATCCAGGATTTCGAATTTCTTCTATATATGTGTGTACTACGGGCTGTGCTCCAAATATATATGTATATGCAAAAACATAAATATTCGATGAAGCATTTCTATGGCCAATTTCTCGATTAGTCAACAAAAAAAAAATTGTGCGTGTTTTGGTTGTGGTCGTTAATCTTTTCTGTTCTTGTACTGAGCTCCGTCGATGCTTTTTATTGAGTTGCATTTTTAAAATTACTCCAAAAGTTATTATCAATTTATGTGGCGTGTGTTTAGGTTAGTTTTTCTTGTTTTTCTTGTTTTTTTCATTGTTTACTTCAACACATTTTCATTTAAATATATAGATTTAAGTACATATAAGTATGCATAGTGTATATATATTTGCTGTATGTATATATATATATATATTTATGTATGCATATATATATATGTATATGGTACTTGCAATTGTGTGTGTGTATATTTATTTAAAGTAATTTATTTAAAGTAATTGCGTTTACATTTTAATTCTATTGAAGTTTTTCGTTAATTTGACACTAATTTAGTTTTTTGGTTTTTTTTTCTTGTTTATTTAGATTTCTCTTTTTGGGGTGTTTGGAAATAAAACATCGCATTAAAAATACTTGCGTTATTTATTTTGTAATTTTGTAATTCGCTTAAAAACAAATCGTGTGTTTCTAGATAGGCTCTCTGGTATTGGTAGGGTATGCAATCGTCGGCGAACCCCGATCCCACACAGCTGCTTCTTCAAAGACGCTGACGAGTTAGTTATACAAAGCGGAAATATTCGCTATGGTCGGGCCTTGTGCTCCACAATAGATTCGAATCTTATGTTAAGAAATCGTATTTCATAAATTGTATTTTGGTAAGCCTAACTTAGTTGTGTCTTTAGAAGAAGGAGGCGGGGCAAATTGTTGTCGGTCAGGTGCGACCATCTGCGGTGCGCAGCGTATAAAAGTCGTAGGGTTAGACGCCTTGGGCGAGACTCTCCTTGGGCAGCGCTATGATGGACTGATCCATGCCCTGGTGCGGAATGATGAACGGTGAGGCCAGCATCTGGAGGGGCCTGTAAATGCAGAGAGAGAGAGAGAGAGAGAGGAGGGAATTGAAATTGTGTTTCGAGCACCCTACAATGCACAGCGCTAATTACTCGGCAAAACTTGTGGCGGTGACCACGGGCTGGCGCACTGTGTGAAGCGCTTGGGAGTTTTTGGCCCGCGCCAGCAGGCTCATCACGGTGCGCTTTGTCGGATTCATGCCGGATCGTGGAACGCCCAGCAGCGGTCGCTTGCGTCCCAGGCCGCTACCTGCAATGATAAACGGAGCTGAGCACCGCCTGGCCAATTCGCTGCAACTAACCTATATTGATGGCCTTCACGTTGCGCAGCGCAGGATGCAGCAGTGCTCCGGGCGGTTCCAGTAGCGTCAATGTCGATGTGTTTGCCTCCCCATCACCAGCCAGCTGCAGTGCCGCGGAGCCGCCCTGCGCTGTGGGCAGACCAGACATGGCACCGGCCACTCCCATGCCTGGCGACGGCTTCAAAAGTCCACCAATGCCGGCAGCCGTAAGCTGATGCTGCAACGCCACAGCCATTGCTGTGGTGTGCACTGAAATGAAGTGGCAATTGTGATTTCAGAGAGTATATGCAATCGAACCGCAGGTTCTTCACTAGCAGATGCCCTGTGTTCAGGTCTATAGCTCATCATACATATTTCTAAGTAGTAGGGGACTTATTTCCACAAACTTGGGTCGGGAAAGGACGGGTAATATTTGCTATGCATGTTTTCCTGTAACAAATGCCGCCTAATATTTCTTACGATTTTCATAACTCCTCTTGCTGCGCAGCAAATTAAATATTTTTAAATATCGCCCTTCTATGCAATTCTCATGATTTCACTTAAGGCCTGCTTGGCTTTTCCCTTTGACTTTACAGGCTGTGCGGGTAATTTAATAAACTTTTTGTCTGATTCTACTCTCGCTCTGATATACTCTTTCTCCTCTATCCCACTCTAGCACTTTGATATGTATGTAATAAAATCTGGATTCATATAATAAATGGATATAAAATATTCTTGCTTGTGAATGTAAGTGAATTTTTACCTTTATATATTTATATAACAAAAATTATATATATTTTGTGCCAAACAATTTTGTCTGCATATCCCTTGAAAGTATTTCGAAGCGTTGCATTCAACTGCGTTGGTTAAATGGCTAGATAATTTTATATAGATCAAGAAATTTGATTACTGCCGTAAAATTGCATTTGCTTAATGCGCATTACAATGGCGTTCTCCGCTGCGAGAAACTATCCAGTCTCAATCTTATTTGCCATTCCCATTTTTTGTCCGCGGTAATTACATTTGCCCAGCTGGAGGTACTCACGTGCTGCTGCTGTCGCAGTGTTCGCCTGTCCAGCGAGATGCTCCCCACAGGCGGCAGCCGCAGCTGCAGCGCTGGCGCCTCCGTGCGTTTGGAGTAGCTGATGGAAGTGCGCTGGCTGCGGCTGGTGCTGGTGCTGGTGATGCTGATGATGTGGGTGAGTGTCACCGCCACCGCCGCCGCCGCCACTGCTGCTGCAGGACTGGCCGCAGTCGAGCTTGTCCGGCGAGAGGCAGTCCATGCCGCTGGTATCGTTGTCAGACTTGTCGTCGTTGGACGTGTCCATGTCTGCCAAGCCACCGCCCAGGCCGCGATTGGTGTTAGTCGGGCTCTGCGAGTCGTCGAGGTGGCTCAGCGTGGGCGTGGACGTCAGTGCCTGCATTTCCCACATCTGCTCCTGTCGGATATCATCATGGTAGTCCTGCGGAAGAGTACACAGTGCACAACAGTACACGATTAACAATGGGTTGCCATGTCCCCTCCTGGCCATGCTGAGACCTCGCTCGGGGGATGGTCATAAAAACTGCATTTTGTCTCGTCTAGCAATTAAATTTAATTCAGGCGTTCTCAGTGCGCGTAATAAATGCGAATTTTATTGGATGTCAATTAAAAGTTTGCGAGTGTCACACTCGCATCCAGAGCACATCCCCTTCACTCTGCTCCTTGGGTGTGACCCAGTCCATGCGACGGTTGGGTGCGCGTTGAAGCAGAGCTGGGTGTGATATATATATTTACTTTTACCCGAGTGTGTGTGTGTGTGTGTGGGTGAGTGTGTGTTCGTGCTTAATGCAATTATGGAGGAACAGCAGAGGCAACCTAGGCAAACGGATACACACCACAATTTGGCAGCTATCTTCGAGTTGGAGGTAAAAACAAAAAAGGAGGAGCAGGAGCTGTGGCTGTGTTAATACTTTTCCAATTACCAACATTAACCGAGTTATGGTCAGTTCAGTGTGAATCCCTAATATGTCTAAGATCCAACTACTAATATCATTTGATTCCACTCGACTGGCTGTTCAAGCTGCCTGCTTTGAGGATAAATTGCTGTGGCAGCTGCCATAAACAATAAACCAGCTAAGGTATTGCCAGGATATGGCGCACACACGCAGATTGTTTCGTGTCATAAGCCTTATATATTTATCTAAATTGAAACAGTTTATGCGTCTCACATACGACCATAAAATTGAAATAATTTCCATGCAAATTTTGTGTGTGTAATCAGATCAGAAATCTAACAAACCGCCGCCAAAGAAAATTTATGCTCCTGACAGTTGCGTGTCACAGGTTCGCTCGTGTGTTTTGCTCACAACCTGCAGCTGGCACCACATGTCTCTGGATATTTTTCCCAAGCCGTGATATTTTGTTGGTTAAATCTTAATTTTCAAAATTCAATTTAGCTCCAAAAGCCAAGAGCTAGCTGTTAATGAAGTAAAGCAACGCGCTACATTCAAAATTGTTAAATATCGCCCTTCTATGCAATTCTCATGAATTCACTTAAGGGCTGCTTGGCTTTCCCCTTTGATTTTACAGGCTGTGCGGGTAATTTAATAAGATTTTTGTCTGATCCTAGCTCCAAAAGTCAAGAGCTAGCTGTTAATGTATTTATTACTGGATTAAAGCGATAATAATGTTGCCCACACTTCTATTAAATTTTCTTGGACATAAATTGTCTTGTCTTTACAAAATTCGATTTGTACTTAATAAAAAGAAAGCCTTTAAAATTAATTAAATAATTTTCTCGTGGGTTCGAACCCTTAGCTACGTAGAATTCTTCTGCTTAAGAGTACATTATATTTTTTCAAGATTTTATTATGCCATTGCACATTATATTTATTCATAAGGTAATATGGAATGTACGATGCAAAAAAAGGAAGGGAAAAAAGAACCCCAAACTAATCTTTTTGTGTTGCATCTAATTCCAAGCTTTCGTTTTTATAACATATATAAATACAAGTACTTACCTTTTGAATTTACGACTAAGTATTAGAAAGTTTAGTGGAAATAACAAATCCTTAAGCTTTACCCATTTTCAGTGGGTTGCTTTTAACTTAAAATAAATTCCACACGGCTCTAAATGAAACTGAATGTTAAATATTGTGAAAGCCGCTTAAAAGCAAGCCAGGATATAGAATTTGAGCTTACGATATTTTAGATACTAAGTATTTGGGTCAGCTATTCAGGGCAAGTGGGAGGCTATAATTTAAGGTGAATACGTAGTTTTTCATTGAGAGCAAAGAAAAATAAATAAATATCATTGCGAGGCATGTGAAGATGTGAAGATGTGAACATGTGAACATGTGCACTGTTCGGCTGGCTGATGGAAGCGGAAGGATTGTAAACGAGCATCGAGGATACTAAATGGTTACCGTTTGTAGCTCAAGTGGACGAGGGACAAGTGCGGAGCAGAACGGACACAGAGCAGAGAAAACACGCGATGCCAGAATGCAACGGCTGTGGCGATGGAGATGGAGATGCCATGGCAGGGTGATAGCGTGCCAGGAGCCACACAATGGACAGAGGCGACATCGGCAGCTCGACAGCGTCGAGTGCGAAGTTTATGGAGCGCCAGCCAGCCGAGTGCAAAGGGGGCGGCAAATGTAATTACAGCACAATGCAATTTAGTCAGCGAGGCGTGTTGGCCTGCCACGAGGACGTTGCGATGCAGCCAGCAGCCAGCAGCAGCACACGGTAGCTGGAGTCGATAACGAGTGCAACCTTGGAGCAGCAGCTGCATCTGCAGCTGCCCAGGACTTGGACTCGAGCTATTGGCGTGCCGTTAAGTCTTGTGCTTGAGAACAAATTTAAGAAGCGGCCGCAACTTTAAGCACTTACGCCAGCAAGTTGTGAAGAAAACAGCTGAAATACCAACAAAGCAACCCCCAAGCACCCCCCCTCCGCGCTCTGCCCCCCGGTTGTGACCACTCACCGGAACCAGAAAGCGACGCACTTCCGCCAGGGCATAGGCAATGCGAGCGTGTGCCTCGGCGGGCGCCGCAAACGTTGAAATCTCGACGTGCAGATCCTCAAAGAGATGGGCGTAACGACTGTCGCCACTGGCACGCAGCTCCTCCTCCTTCCGGCGGTCGCGCATCGAGCCGCGTCCCAGCACGGCCATTTTGCACATTGTGTCCTCCTGGAGCCGTTTCATCGAGTTGCCCTTCGGTCCCAGCAGCTTGCCAACAAAATTGAACTGGCAAATGGCAAATGGCAAATAAGTTATTACCATAAGCCTGATTATATCAGGTATTTGACTCACCTTCGGGTGATCCCGCACCGGCACGGCCACTTTGACGGACACCTTGACGGGCTTGTCTCGCGTAATGTCCAGCATTTTGAGCTTCTCTGTAAAAGTAATTGGTTCTGTAAGTTCACTGATTAACAGGCTCAAATTCTTGTTATATAAATCAGTTATATTCCCCTTACACTTACTGATTCCTTCTCAGGGACCTAAGATTGAATTAATTTTGATTGATTGATTGGTACTATATGCAGACGCACCTAAGTTTTACTTAACAACTTAGGTGTTCATTCATTCCTTCTATAAATTAAGGCTATTTAAATAGTAGAAATATATTCACTAATGCTTCTAATAGCGATTGATTGACTGATTGATTAACTTCGTTGAATGCATTAACCTTTAATTGTTAATTGACATGGATTACATCTATATTTACTATAGAAGAAAGGATATGCCAATTACTCAATTCATTAAACTAAGACTTTGCTCTGATAGGAGGCTTTAATTCATCAAGGATTGAATTAGTTGTGATTGACTGACTGATTGATCAACGTTGTGCTAAGCATATGTTTTACTTAACATCTTACATAAAAATAATTTAATGCTTAAATAAAGACTTCGTTTTAACGGTGAGAATATTTTAGCTAATTATCGAATCAATTGTGATTGAACGATTGATTGATCAACTTTGTGCTATGTATATGTATGACTTTAACATCTTACATCAGAATTATTACATGCTTAAATGTAGACTTAGTTTTAAAGGTGGGAATATTTCCGCTCATTATCGAATCAATTGTGATTGATTGATTGATTGATCAACTTTGTGATATGCACGTTTTACTCAACATCTTACATAAAATTAATTTCTTGCTTAAATAAAGACCTAATTTTAAAAGTACGAATATATTAGCTAACTTTCAAATCGATTGCGATAGATTGATTGATTGACAACTCTGTAATATGTATACGCAGATAAGTTTCAGTTGAAGAGTCAGTCGAATCATATAAAATTTGTTCGTTTAACTTTTCAAGTCTTTTGTAGGCTTGATTCCAATCCAAACCAAATGACTTTATCAAGAAATGTTTGAGGTATTAGTTCTTTGACGTGATTAAAACGAAGCTGACTTTGACAGGGTACTCGAGTGCTTATCAGTTAGTTATCAGACATCCTTAATCAAAACTGTCAGAGTCAGTTACTTGACGAGCGGCTTCCCTCTTTGGAAGTTACGCAAACATATAGTATATGACCCTTAAACTTAGTCGCTGTCTGCCTGAGGTAGATAATTCCTTTTGGATTCTCCGTTTTCTTTTTTTCGTGTTTAAATGTTTGTAACTAATTAAGCAAAATGCTTTTGCACACAACAAACCCACGCTTAGGCCGAATGAGGGCGTCAAACTGGGCTGGGTCTGAGGGGCATGGACGACGGGTAACTGGAAGGGACAAATCTGTTGACATGCCCAAACATGAAAACATTTTTGTTTGCTCTTCAGCTCAAGTCTCGGCAGCGCAGGGCACAGGTAAGCCAAGACAAGGACTTGCACACACGCACACACACACACACACACACACACACACACACATTTACACCGACACTCATTAGCAGGCGAAATGGCTTTCTTAACACCTTTGTCGCTGCTGCTGCTGCCGCTGCTGCTGTTGGTCCCTCTGCCGGGCGAGGCAGCTGTCCCCGCTTCCGAGTGTAGATCCCCCCCCCCCCCCCTCCTCCTATCCCATCCCATGACTGACTGGCTCCGACTGATTCTGAATACGTCGCCATGTCAGTGGCTGTAACATACGTAAGTAGTTTGCAGTTGTCAGCAGAGTGAGTGCACTTTGCCGGCACACACACTCAGATACTTACACACACATACAAACTTACACACACACACACAGAGAGATATTTTGGTACTAACAAATGCAAAAACAGTCAAATGCTAAGTGCAAGAGATGCATGTGTTCACGTGTATTTCTGTGTGTGTGTGTATGGGTGTGTGTGTGTGTGTGTATGGGTGAGTGTGTGTGTGTCCCTTTGTTGGTGTCACTGCGACTGTGTGTCGTCTATTTGTGCTAATTGTTGCCATTGCCACATGAAAAGCACGGCTCATCATCATCTCCACAGTCCGTGTTATTTTACAGAGTATATCTTGTGTATATTAAGTAGAAACCTCCAGAGTCGCCTCTCTTGGGTTATATTAAATTTATGCTGATATATGTACAATATTTTGCATAAATTAACCGCGAGAGCGTTTCGTCAACGGTGCGTATGTGTCATGTAAATTAGACATCAAAATATTTGCATACACATGCGTAAATTTGCGATGAGCTTCAGAATATGCTCCGCCCGGCCTGTTGATTAATTAAACCCCTCGCTTAATGCGCTAAAAGGACTTTTGTGTTTATAATCAAGTAAATTAATTAAAAGGCAAACAAAAAAAGTTATGCCCAGAAACAAACCTATTTAACGTTAAAATCAAGTTAACATAAAAGGAAGCAGTTGAACTAATATGCTGTCAACAGCTTTTTAAACGAAATAATTTATATATTTATTAAATATTATTAAAGAAATTGCGTCCAAATGAGGTCTGCACAGCCGTCAAAATGGTTTGTGGTTCGTTTTACGGTTTGAGCCGACTTCCTGCCTTGAGGTTGGTTTCTTGGTTTTTGGTTGGTTTTTCACATCCATAGTCAGGTTTTAATTCAGATCTTGACCTGTTACTTTTGGATGTCCTGAACCCATTGAAAATGAGTAAAAAGGGTATAATGTTTTTGTGCAAATGTATGTAATAGGCAGAGCGATGCATCTCCAACCCCATATAGTATATATATTCTTGGTCAGCATCAATAGCCGAGTCGATCTAGCCATATTCTTGTGTCTGTCCGTCCGTCCGTCTGTCCGTCCGTGCCTCTATCCGTATGTATGAACTTGAAATATTGAAGGAAGGTCCTCCTAGTGCTCTCGCAAATCTCTTTGGTTTTAAGAGCTAGAGGCACCAAATTTAATATGTAGCTTCTATAATAGAAATAGTTTATGGGTCTCCCCGCCCCTAGCTCGAACTGCATTTGGTGTGGATAGAAGAAGGTCGGGGGGATCCTCGTTCTACCAAAAATATTGTATTATCGTACCTATTTGATCTCTAGCTAAAATTGGCATCAATATCAAATAAATAAATCTATCTATCTACATATTCAAACTTTATACATTTGTTTCAATCGTATAAATATATTGTGCATTTTTTTATAACACAAACATAATTTAAACAATAGCTGGAATTCATTTTTAAAATTGGGAGCTCATTCAGTTACTTGTTAATAAAATATGTCGAACAAATGTCAGTGACAATAAGTCCACAAATATGTTATATATGTTCATTCCAATGAATGCTTTTTGAAGGTGGACCTGACTGATGAGATTCGGTGTGGAAAATTCGTTTTCAGCAAGAGCTCCCATTGGGCAACCATTGAACTAATTACGTAATTAATTTCCGCTTTATGCATTGCATATGCATTAAAAGCAGTTTAATTGGCATTTTGCCATGCAGAAATTTATTGATTTTTATGCCAACCAAACCGAACAACAATTATTACAATCATTATTCGTTTACACAACAGGCTGACAATAATTTTATCAGTATGCATCGGTCGGTTTGGAGCGCAGCGGGGCAGGTGAAAAGTTTTTATGTGATGGTCAGGTGGTTCAGGTGAATGCAAATTTTTGGCGCCCTAATCTTGTATAATTTACGACCAAAAGGGCCATTAAGCTAATTAGGTATGCATTACACGAGCCTCCATTTGCGAGCCAACTATTTTGCCGCTCTCCATTTTGTATCAGATTGCAATAAGTGCTTTTTTATACGAGCCGCAGCAAAAGTGTTTTTGGCATTTGTCTATGCTATTGATGCCAACAAAAGGAGGCGAAACTTCTGCCCGGATAAAGCTTGGCAGCGTTGCACTCGGCTAAGCACTCAAACTTAATTTCTAGTTCCGTTCGGCTACAAGCTAAATATGCATCGAAATATACACTCGGAGTGGAGCTTGCCTCGGCGGCGGCATTGAGGAGCACTTCCAGCGCCGAGTGGCCCCGGGACAGATGCTAAACATTTGCGTTAGTCATTGCAATTGTTTCCGAGTTGCCAAGCTGTTGTGCAGCATTCGCATTCGCATTTTCCTGCCATATTTTTTTCCATTTCTTTTGTGCTTTGCTTTCGTTTGGCTTTTCCAGGTCATTTGCGCTGTTGTCCGGACCAAAACAGTTCCGTGTGCTGCCTGTTGCCCGCCCCAACTACAAGCCATGCCCAAGGGCCAGACACTTGTCTTAACATCAGCCTTTGCCCTTTGCCCAACCCATGACCCCCAATCCACCAAGAGGGCATCCCGCCGTCTTGCCCATAAGCTGTTACCCTCTTCAAAGCGTTGACGCCGTCGTCAGCTTGATTTATTTGCCTTTAATAAAAGGCACACCTGCATTTAAATAAATCACATGGCTAAATCAAGACACTTTCCCTAATATAAGTCCACATATCCTAGTCGTGGATTTATTAATTTACTTCCAGTTAGAGGTTCTTATAAGATTGTTAGAGGTTGAATCAATAGATCTTATAAGATCAGATTTTTATCTGTTTCTTCTCTAAAATCTTATTGAATCAATTGAAGACTTGCTAAAGGATTTCAATTTAAGTTGAACGTTTTTTCCTGCAATTCATATTTGTATTTAAAACCTGTCCCTTGGCAGCAAAATCCAATTATATTTAATTTGTAATAGGCTGAGCCTGGCGGAAATTAAAGAAAACTTTGTTTCTGCTTTATTTGATGCTGCAATGTGCCGAAGGCTTGAATTACCCATCATTAAAGGAAAAAAATGCGATATAATTGAGGCGTTTTTTCTTGAAAACATATTTATACCCTATTCACAAATTGAAAATTGGGTATATGGGTTAAATGATTGTTTTGCTGTCTGCAAGAATTTTTTGGTATCTAAATTGGAACTGGAGACATAAAATATATATAATATTATTTATGTTTGCGTTAGACAATTACTTCTAACTTTTTTTTTGGTCACGCCCTCGAGGGGCTAACAAACTGCAAAAATCTTATTCTGCTACAATTTAAGACTAGAATAAATCAATTTAACAGGTAGACCCCCGATGAGGACTACTAAAGATCGAGTTAAGGATATTAACACGCTCCCTTAAATGGCTAAAATGAAAAGTTCAAGCCACAGTTTAAAAGCCACTGTACTTACAGTCTTAGAGTCACCTGACAAAAATAAAAAAGGCTGCCTTTTATTGCTTAAAACAATATAAATTATACTTAAATCAATCAAAAGATTCTTCACGATATTTAAACTCAATCTTAACAGGATATCAAGCTTAGTCTGGCTGCCAACCCAAGCCTGTTAACAGAGTATACAAATTGGCAAGGGTGTTATAGTGAAAACTCTGCTAACGGACACTGATATTCTACTCCTCTTGGGCGGACATTTTCCCCCAAGCCACGCATCAGGCCCTACCGATTCTCTCTCCATTGGGCAGACACTCTTAACCGAGCAAAAACTGCCCGTCAATCGCTGTGCACTCAGGCGAGTTTTCACTGTAGCCCGGGATTGAGTTACATGTAATTTGAAAAATACATCAATTCAAATTGATAACATTCTTTTTTTTTTACTCTTGTGTATTGTGTGGCAAAGTATCGATTGCAAGCGTACATATAATTGGGGCAGGAATCCTCTAGCCTAGTTTTTACGGCGTGTCAAAGGCTTTGTGGGCATTAATTCGGCGTTTCCCTTCTTGTGCTTATCGCCAAACATGGTCGTATAAAAAATAAAACTCTGCGTTAAAACACAAAATACGACCCAAATGGTAACCAGACGCCTTGGGTCAAAGTCAAAGCCTCAGTGCCATGGCAATGGCCAATGGCTCATTTAATCGTTTTGCGAAAGTCTTTTCGGTGCTCATGAGAGGCGTTCGAATGGGTGAATGGGAGGAGGGGAGGGGTGGGGAGGCTGTGTAGGCTTTAGCCCTGGTTTTGGTTTAACATTTCCATGCGAAAATACCCAAGGGACGGATTACCAAAATGTGGCTCGTTAGTCAAAGAAAAAAAAGAAGAAACGAGAAAAAATGTGCTGCCCAAGAGCTTACACGCCGCACAGGCGATGAGGACATCAAACATTCAAAGAACATTTGCCCCCTAGTTACGTATGTATCCTTTTTTTGTATATACCCTCAAGCCATTGAAAAAGGCCCCAAAGGGTATAACAGTTGGCTGGAAATGTATGTAACAGTAAGCCCTGCCGACCTCATATTGAAAGCTACAAGAGGTAAAGCCTGGAAGAAAGACTTGGCAATATGTATTCTTCCATATTATAGCCAGAACGTGTTCATCACTTTTTTCAATATCTTCTCCTATTTTCATAATATCGACTTTCAGACATGGGTTCTTAGGCATAACTCGATAATTATAAGAAATAGATAACTTGGTACGTAAACGTTAAAGACGGAAGGTATCTTAAAAGTAACATATTTGTAATATGTATATACCATATGAGAACATATATATAGATATCTCACGCCTTTTAAGAGTTAGCGCCTTGCACTTTGAAATAGACACCAAGTTTGGTGTCATATTAAAGATCTGTAAATTTCATAACGATCGGACTGTAAGAACCGAAGTTAACTTGGAACCCATTTCCTATACATAGTACAAACTTAGAAAAAATAAAAGGCGTGCGTTCCTGTATTTATGTGTGTATGTGTGTTTTTCTACATGTATGTGTAGAAGAATGCTAGAATGTTTGTAACGGCAGCTTGTCGCTCAGTTGGCAGGGTATCTGCAAGTCGTACACTTCCGGCTAAAGCACTCTATTTCATACTTTTTCGTTAGATATGTCTTCTCCGAATGCGTCTCAACAGAATTGTGGAGACGGCATTGTTATTTTAAACTGCAGACTGGGGCAAATTGAATTCGAAGAAAAAAGCGAGCATCTCGTTGTGTGGGTGTCGTGCGGATTTATGTACTTAGATACTTTTGTAGCTGTCCCAGGATATCAAAGCGAGACGCTCGAAAGCTTTAAAGCGATGCCCCTAATGAGTGCAAGGGGAGGGGGTAGGGGGAAGGGGTAGGGGCATAGACGACAAATAGTTTTGTTTTTCGTTGCTTATCACCGCATGACGTAATCCTCTTGTATGCTTATGATTACATTTTTGTTGTTGTGCGAGTCCGTGTGCCGACATGTGTGTAAGTGTGTGTTCGGTACTCGATATCGGCAACAGCCAGTGCGACGACAGTTTTTACGACATCAGGATGCCAGTCGCTTTATGTCCTTCCTTTAACTTTGCCGCAAACAAGTCCAAGTCGAAAAGGTAGCTGAAAGCAGCAGAAAATAACGCTCCCAGAATTCACATCTCGCCAGCTTCGCTTGACGTTTGCTTAGCTCAGCAGCAACTGGCGAGAAGGGTGCGAATACCTCCAAACTGCTGGCAGACGTTAAGTCCACACACACACACACACAAACACCACCACACACACTCACAAAACACACAAATGATGGTGGCGCAAGTTGAGTTTACTCTGTTTGAATTTCTTTTGTAGCCCGCGCGGCAGCTCGAAGCTGGCGAACATTTGATTGTTCCTGTTTAAGCTACACACATATTCAATTTTGCCACACAGCAATTGTTTTGCAAAACTTACATAAGTCATAAAATTATATTTTGTGTGTAACCAAATTAAAACAATTTTATTAAATGCACCAAAATGTGGGCTTGGAATAAAGGAATTCTTCAATAACCTTTGAAGAGGAGAGGAAGGTTGTTCCAGCTGAGAGCTGAGGAGCTCGTCTGTATGTATGTAAAAAGCAGAAGGTATTTCCGGGCCCATTAAACACATTTTGCACACATATTTTGCAATTAGCCTGTTCTTCTGCCTGTCCGTCCATCCGTTTGTCTATACGTGGATTGATCGAAGATTGGTATCTCGTATATCATCTAGAGATAAAGAATATATTCTACTTAAGACTACACCTAGCTTCGTCAGATCCGGTCGGACAATAATTGCTGCAGTGAAAAGATTTCAATTTTATGTATAAATAATTTATTTAAGTTTTATATGCATCTTTTTTTGGCTTACAAAACCCTTTCATTTATGATTCTAGGTCAACTAACTTCTGGTTTTGCCCAGTGTATTCAGTTACAAATTTTGTTGAGAGCGCACCACAATATTTATTTTATTTCAACACACAAAAACCTTTGCCAAAACTAACCAACATTCACATAAAATGAGCTCGAATCGAAAAGTCTTTATTGCATACCTGAACTTTTGAGGGCACGTTCCTCCTGTGAGCTTAAGCTGGATTTGGGTTCCATTTTATGTTTAAATATCGGCAACAACTGCAAGCAAAGAAGTATGGAATATAATCAATGTAAGTACATAAAATAATAGTTTACTTTGGAGTTTTTAAGTATTTTACAAACTAACTCCAACGCGTTGCGGCGAACTTCAGTTAAGAGCTTACGGAAAAGTTTGCAACATCTTTTTATTATGCTCCTACTAAGAGCATCATTATTAAATGCGCTTATGGGTTTTAAAACAACAACATTTTTGAGGAATTCTATTTAAATCCAATAAGTTTCAATGGGCCATTTAAGAAAACAACATTCACGTCAAGTGCTTTGTGCAACGCTTCTGCAAACAATGTCGACCGTTCTTGTATTACACGAGACAAGAATTTGGCTAACACTTGTTGGGCACGGGTCCATTCGAGTGTGTCGAGTATCAGTTTTCACGCCAACATCTATGCCATTTAGATAGGAGCATGCAACATGTATCCATGGATATATCGAGTCATCTAGAACCCGCATTCATATTTAGACAAGTTGGGTTTTGGCTGATCTGGCGACTCGGTTTGGCTGGGTAATTGCCAGCACGGCCCATTAACTTCTAGAGTGGGGCCATATAAATATAAATTTATAGCTAATATTATTTTCAAAGCCATAAACCTGTGCGTCATGGCGCCTAATTGCCTTTTATGACGACGCGAAACATTTGCTTAGCCGCCTCCAAAAAGCCCCGAACTACCTGCGAAATCAGCGAAAGGATAAACGTGGGAGAAGTTCTTCAAATTAATGATGGCGTGGGCCCGACAATCCCTGACAATGTTGTTTGTCATTGTTGGGGTTTTTGTTGCCTTTGTTTCCCCATCTTGTCCCTCTCTCCCCTTGTCTCTATCTCTCTTTCCCTGTCTCGCTGCCTCTTTGGCCTCCGTTTTCTGAGTTTGACGGATTTGTGCGCATTTGCAGATTAATGCTGCGATTATTGTTTACCGTCGGAATTGTGCACCGTGGGGCGTATACGTAATGTATTTGTTGCGTATACGACCTGTAAACTTTTTATACCCTGAACCCATTGAAATTGGGTAGAAAGAGTATAATGTATTTGTGCAAATGTATGTAACAGGCAGAAGGATGCATCTCCGACCCCATAAAGTGTATATATTCTTGATCAGCATCAATAGCCGAGTCGATCTAGCCATGTCCGTCTGTCCGTATGTATAAACGCAAGGATCTCTGAACCTATAAGAGCAAGAGACTTGAAAGCTTTAGTTGTAGGTCCTTCTAGTCCCCGCGCAGATCGAGTTTGTTTCCGATATTCGATAACTTGCCCCGTTTCCAAGTAATCGATCAAAATCGATATCGAAATTCTGTTTTTTGAGCAATTTTGGCAAATAATATGAACCAGAGTTCAGTAGAATAGTATATATATATAAAGTATCTTTAATTTTATACCTATCGCCTGTTGGAATAAGAGGGTTCAGGGTATCCCCTAGTCGGAAGCTTTCGACTCGAACCTTTGACTTGTTATTGCTATTGTTGATAATTTACATTTTAAGTAAAGCAGATTGAAAACTTTTAAGCACAACTTGAATGACAGTAGGAGAGTAACTTCATTTTATATCTACATTAATACTGTTAGTTTCTTAAGTTGTTTATAATGCAATTGACCCACTGTGCAGCTGCAAAGACGACATTCGCAGCAGCGCCGTCTTTTATATGCAAAATTTAACCCAGAATGGAGTCCCTCCCGTTCGGTCGGTGGGTTAGTGGGTTGTTTTGATGGGTTGTCCATGGGTTCCGTTGGGTAGACCGACCCGACCCGACCCGACCCGCCTCGCCCTCTTCATTTGCCAGACTCGTCCCGTGCACTCTCGGCAGTCGGCTCTTTGTATAGCTTCGCACGCACGATTTAAGGATAACGAGGATGGAATGCAGGAAGCGAGGCAAATATTTACACAGTTGGATGATTTAGATAAAGAAGACATGAACATGAACCCATAATACGAACGAAGAAGACGAACTGTCGAGCCAGCGGGGCGGTGAGGCGTCACTGAAAGGCCGGAAGGGGAAAATAAGCCCGAGACATTATAAAAGTGGGCTGGCATTATAAAGGATAAAGAAATTTGAATACAATGAAGAGGATTTCGAAATGCCGGGATTGCCGAACGTCACTTCTCAGCTGCTTTTGTGGCCGGAGCCCAGCAACAGGAAGCCAACAACAATAATAACAATATTAACAACGAAATTTACGAAATTGTTAACAAAATTAATGCAACTATCGTGCTGCTGACTTGAGTGCTTCCTAATGAACTGTCCGACAATATAAGCCTGTCAATTTCAGCAATTGAAATGCGCAATTCGATTCCAGGAGCGCCAATATACATATATATATACATATATATCTATCTATTTGGAAGGACCTGCACGTTTCGGCTTTTGCTTTAAAGTCGGATCAGGAATGCTCGCATGCAAAACAGCGGGCATGGATAATTTATTCAAGCAATCGGGGCGCAGGAAAATAAAAAAACAAAAAAACAGAGAGAGGAAATGCAAATGCAGATGAGTTTGTGTTTGTGCGGATGCACGGAGTATGTAGAACCCGCCAGCATGTTGTAACTCACACACACATAGACGCACACGCATAGACACCTGGGTCCGGGAGCGGTAGTCCTTGTCCTGGTTCTAGTTTTTGTCAAAGGTGAAAATGGGGCTCACTTGGATTTCGTGTACCTTGTGAAATCCAGCGAAAGCTGAGGGCTCAAACAGATGCCGCACGTGCCGATGGCCAAAATGCATAACATATGAGAAATACGTCTCTTTCACACAGCATTTAAATTATTTGTGTTTGTGTCAACATTTGAAATTCCATAAATTTTAGCCAGTCGATGCATGCACAGAGCAACAACTGCACACACCCCATCCTGCAATCCTGCAATCCTGCAATCCCACCGCCTCCTGCAATCCCACTCGAGCTGCTTGTTTATTTGCTCATTCGTTTGTGCTGTATGCACTACACAATATTGAAATGTATGCGAGTATTCAAATGCTCTTTCCGTCTCCCTCCCTTTCACTCTCTCTCTCTCTCTCTCTCTCTGCAATTGGCCAGCTATCTGCGGCCCTCGCCCGCGCTTGTTGTCTCATGGCTGCAGCTGAAAATTCCTGACCGGAAATTGTTTCACAAATGCTGGCCAATTAATTTGAAAAATAATGGAAAAAAACATTATACTGAGAACGCGCAGAGCGAAAATAAACACCGAGTGAAGAATGCAAAATAAATTGGCAGCACGTGAAGCACTTTGTTTTTTTTTATACACTGCGCAGAAAACTCAAACAAGCTCTTTAATAGGTATTAAAGCTAATAAAGGAATTTTAATGGACTTAATTAGAAATATGCTGCAATATGAATGCGAACTATAAACTCTAATGAATCTCGTCAAGGTTTCAAAGGAAACGAGCTTTTGTAGACAGCAAAAGGGTTACAGGAAAGTTTAATCATATGATTTATTAAAATTGATATTATTTTGGGAAAGGTCGATTGTAAATTTGAGAAATCGTGCCTTTGCCCCGTTATGCTAATCAGAGTTTGTCATGTATTCATATAAGATGTCAGCCTTTTATTCACATGATTAATCTATTATTGTGAGGATAATACCCCTTTTTTAAATGCATATACTCCATATACTCCTCGACATATACATATATACTCCTTAAGTTAACCTTATCCACAAAAATGATTAAAATTTGAGCAGGAGCTCGGAAGCAGGGCTCGGCTTTAAATCAAACCGCTTTGAATATTGGCATAAAGTTATTTTTTATCAAACAGAACTAAACTCTGACTTAATAGTCAGACTAGTTGCCCAAAAAGCAGCCAACCGAAACCCCTCACTAATATATTTATTGCTTTTTAAGAGATTTGAGCTTTCAATAAATACATGAAAACATATGACATAAATAGGTTTTTGAACCAAAACCCAAATATATGCAAATATATGACAAAATTAGTTTGAAACCAAAAACGTGCGCTCAAGAATTTCATATCCATCAAGTAAGGTGTGCTCTAGTCGGGAGTGCCCGAAATTAAAGATACTTTTAGATACAACTAAAACCTAAGAAAGTTGCTGAAAAAAGCAAGATTTTGAAACGATATTTATCGATTCCTTGGAAACGGGGCAAGCTATCTTAGAAGACTAGGAAGACCTAAGTTCAAGTCTCTAGTTCTTATAGATTCTGAGATCTACGTTTCTGCCTGTTACATACATTTGCACAAAAGCATTACACCCTTTTTACACACATTCAATGGGTTCAGGGTATAAAAACCAGGTCCACAAATCGCACCTAAAAGTTATGGAGCCTGTGTCGGCAAGTTATCCCGTTTGGCCGCCTCAAATGAGGCACAAAAATAGTTGTGTGACCTCATAAAGGCCGACATTTGTACAAACATACATCTGAATGTAGATGTACCTAGGTGTTATTGTTGTAATACAATAATGTGCATAAATAAGTAGCCTCACAAAGTAAAACTTTTCGCTTTACTGTCCGCAATGTGGTTGGCTGTGTTTTGCCCACAAAAAAGCAGAAACGACAAAAGGTCCTTTGTGCTGCATATATTATGGACGTAAATAAATGCGAGTCTATTGAGGATTACGAAAATATAGTGAAAATCATTTTTGCGGTTTTTCTTTCAAGTCGACAAAGAGAGGCGGCAGTTGCCAAAGGAAAAAAAACTCGAATTCGGCTTGTACTTATTAACTGCTCGGCAAATGAGGAGACATCAATAAGCATTCCGCTCACAATTTATCTAAATTAGTTTTATTCTGTCATGCCTGAGCAGAGAGATCAACAAATAAATGACACTTCACTTCGCTTGGCCTTCTCCGAGCTGTCGGCGATAAAAGTGAGATAAATCAAAAGCAATTACAAACATCCATTCTCGTTTACTGCGCAACCCCGAAGGGAGTTTTCCAGGAAATCCGTATGTACATCTGCTTCATATATGTATGTACATACATATAGATATATGAATGTATGCCGGGCCCATTGTGTTTGTCTGGCGGCTATCTGTATTTCTGGCAAAGTAAATAATTAAGCTGATTTCCCAGCAGTAATTAAGTTTCTACAGGTGCCCAGCAGTATTTCATTAAATCTTTAATGCAAACTGATTACTGCGCGCAGACAAACTCTTGCCGCTGGCAAAATAATGTCCATGTTTTTCATATTTAATGCAAATAAATTCAAGTGTTGACCAAGCAAAATAGACGCTAATTAGATAGCTAACTGTCAGTGCTTTTATAAAGACAAACAACAAATAAATTACAGCGCTCGAAACAAGTGCCAAAGAACATTTGAGTACACTTCTGCAGCTCTTCAATGTGGCATATAAATGGAGCTATGCTTGAGGGGAGGAGAGGAGAGTAAGAACTGAAATATCATGATTTTCGAGAGATAACATAGCTTAGGTTCAGCTCGTAAAATCTCTCAAATAAGCTGTAAAAGCCCAAACTACAAATGGATATTTATTGGTTAATATAAAATAACATAGTTTACGGATAAGATATTTATTTAGACTGACGATCCAATACAGCTATAAATGCATTCTATATTGGATTATAGAGCTTCCTTTTGCTTTTGTTACTCTGTCTTCTTCTTATTCTTCCCATGACAGCTATAAGCTGTAAAGGCCCAGACTATAAATCGATATTTATCGATTACAGGCCAATAAAGAAGTTAATTTGAAATAAGCTTATGCTGCATTAGTTACCCAAAACATAATATTCGGACTGGGAAATTGTTGTCAATAAAGCAATAAATGATTCTAAATTGGATTAAAGAGCTTCCACTTGATTTGGTTACTTTGTACTCCTAAAGATTCTTCCTATGACAGCTAAATAATTTAATTACTTAATTATTTAATTATTTTATAAATTATTTAATGGGCCGACTTCCATATAATATTAGACAAAACTGATTGTCAAGTATGCCAAGAAATATATTTAAATATAATTTATATCCCACTTTCACAGCTCGCTTCATAACAAAATTAGTTAAAGCATGCCTCTGCAATAATAAATAAATCATAAACCAAAGATAGTTTCTCTTCGGGCTATTTGTTATTTTCGAATGCACAAAGAGGCAACATTTTCAAATATTAAGTGCAGATTAGGACATATTCATGCAGGCATTTAATTAAGTTGAGTTATTGAAAAATATGAACGTATTTTGCTTACCAAAGTGCAATAAAATTGTATTATTCTATTTGAGTTTGTAGCAAGCTTTGTGGTCGAAGAAAGTAATCCGCTTGAGTTATTCGATTTAATTGTAAAACATTTATCTCAATATATTCACGAGTCACTTTTATTTTCACTTTGCGTTGACAAGTGCCTGGAAGTGCTTATTTAATGCTTTATTCATTCGCTGCAAACTTTTGCACATCCACCAAATTCATCAGGGCTGATTAAAGATGCATGCTCCGGGGAGCCAGCCGTTGGAGACGGTTAAGTTTTCCGGACTCTTGTGGGTGGACCGGGTGCCCGAGGTGCGAAGACTTTGTGCGCTTTTAATTTAAGTCTGACTGAGTAAAACAACAAAGCAAACAACAACAAGAACAGATATCCCGCGGGCCTCAGATAATGTCATCCGATTGGGGAGCACCGCACGAGAGCAAAAAACGCGCGACAACAAATACGTAAAGTGACGACGGAGACGACGACGACGACGGAGACGGAGACGACGGCGATTTGCCAACTGTTTGGCCAAGTACTCCGCAGACGGCGCCACAACAGAACCGCCAGCGACAACTTTCACTGCCTAGCAGCAGCAGTTAAGCCTGGGTATGTGTGTGTGTGGACCAGGACCAGGACCAGGACATTGGTGTGCACCCAGCACTTGACACAATATAAACAATTTGTCTCTGCAACGCGTCAAAATGGGCAGCTTGGCGCCAAACACCTGAACAACGAACAGAACAGAACCGAACTGAACTGCAGCTGGAAGTGGGCCTGACTAGGAGCAGCTACAGTAGCGTCCCAGTAGCGTTTCCAGTAGCAGAGCACATCCCACTGGCCGAGTTATCCCGTGTTGATGAACCGTTCCGTCAAGAGTCCAGCGCGCAACTGATACGACCGCAGCCAACTCGGCACCGAAGTGCTCCAAGCACGAGCCGCATCTGTGGATGCTGAGTTCCGTTGGAGCGAGTCTGCGCACCAAATCCCTTACAAATCTGTCCTTAACTCTCTCCTTATAATACTGGGAACGGATTATGTTTCCGTAATGCATTAAACTCGAGTTACATGATAATGCTTGACTTGACGAATTTGGTCATTACGATGGATATGCTTTGCTAAATCATCTTTGAGATATGGGTTATATGTAGGCTTAGTTATATCATCTTTTGTAAGATATCGACTATAATTAGGCTTGGTATCACTTTCTTTAAGATATCGACTATAGTTAGGCTTATTTATATCATCTTCTCGGAGATATATGTTATAATTAGGCTTAGTTATATCTTCTTGTCTGAGATATCGACTATAATTAGGCTTAGTTAAGTCATCTTCTCTGAGATATTAGTTATTATTAGGCTTAGTTTTCTCATCTTTGAGATATCGGATAAAACTAGACTAAGTTATATCATCTCTGAGATATTAGTTATAATTAGGCCTATTTATATCATCTTCTTTAAGATATCGACTATAATTAGGCATAGTAATACCATCTTCTCTGAGATATCGGTTTTAACTAGGCTTAATTATATCATCTTCTCTAATAAATGGATTATAATTAGGCCTAGTTATATCATTTTCTTTTAGATATCGACTATAATTAGGCTTAGCTATACCATCTTCTCTGAGAAATCGGATAAAATTAGTCTAAGCTAAATCATCTTCTCTGAGACATTAGTTATAATTAAGCTTAGTTATATCTTCCTCTCTGAGATATCGACTATAATAAGGCTTAGTTATATCATCTTCTCTAATAAATGGATTATAATTAGGCTTAGTTATATCCTCTCTGAAATAACAGTTATAATTGGACAAAATTATATCTTCTTCTCTGAGATATTGGTTGTAATTGAGGTTGGGAAGGAGGAATATATTGTTGGTGTTGCTTTTAACAAATCGAACCGGCTTCCTATCTTGAGCTTCGTTTCGTCAACCTGGTTTTCCAACATGAATAAGTCGAGGTTTTGGCTTGAAGTTTGACCTGCGGTCAAACGGTTGCGGGTCGGTATATTTTTATAAATTTTGTTTACTTCAAGGTTCGGTTCATAGTAAAAAGAGATTACCAGTTTGAACTTGTTTGATAAAAAGGAATTTTAATTTAGGTTCTGTCGACTCTTCTCTGTTGTATCAATTCTACGAAAGAATGGTATTTCAGTTCTTTATTGCTTAAATAATCTAGAATTGACGTCTTGCCTTGCCGCATAACTTTAGTTATATCTTCATTTAATAAGGGATGAATTCATCCCAATTCCATATTCCTATTTCGTATACCTAAAATATGGCACTGCGTATTGAATTTCCAAGTATGGATTGCAGCAATTGAAAAAGTCGATTGTGTGTGTGTGTTTTTTTTTTTTTTTGTGCACAAGCAGTTTAAGTTTGGCTTCAGCGAGCTATTTGGACAGAGCCATAGGCAAACTAAATTTGCATAACAGTTTTCAAAGGTACGAGTATATTGGACAAACAAAAAAAAAATAGCAAAAAGTGGAAAAAAAAAAAGAAAGAAAAACAATCAGCCGTGAAGCTGTGGCCACAACGGCTGTCCGAAAATGTGCGCTGGTTCACGCTCGTTATCCGGCTGCCATGTGTACACTCCGGGTCCACATATTCGGACAGTGTCCGGCACATCCAGCGCCGAGCACAATACGCTGGGGGGCCCTATTTGGATACCGTTCAATGCACCAGGGACTCTACTATGTATGACAAACAAACATAAACATTGTGTGTGCCGAAATGGAGACCGTAAAGTATCGTATACTCCGGCTCCGGCTCCTTAGCTCCTGTTGCCGGAGCCACAGCCGGAGCGATAGATGGGCGAGTGTGAGTGAAGGGCTCTTAGCCTGTTTGCGTGGCGCACTCTAATTAAAATTTTCGCCCAGGGGCTGCACACTGCCCCCAAAATACTTTACGAGGTCAAAACCAAAAAAAAAAAGAAAGAAAACCCGAGCGAAATAAGTGCCAACAGCTTAATTTGGTCAAGTTACGGAATGTAATAAACTCGCGCCCAAGGCGTATAATTACCACAGAAAGTGGCGAATATATAAATTTATATTGGTAGTATATATCCATTTGGAGAGTTCGAATATGCCTGACTTCTTCATAAGACTATAGATTCTTTAGAAGTATACACAGCACAGTTGGTATGTATACGAGTGCCACGCCCAGATTTATTTGAGATCTTATATACCTATATATACGATACAAGTGTTATCAAAATAAATATATTTAAATCTTTCATTAAAAAGCGTTTGTAGACAAACTCGCTGACATGTCATGCGAAGTATCCTGCAGGTTAAATATTTAAATACATATTTAGACAATAAAATTTTATATGCAACCATTTTCAAAAATGAACATAAATTATAGATATATTTTGGTTATGAATTAAAAACAATTATTTTAAATGAGTGCCCCGCTAACTCCGGTTCAAAAAAGGTCTAACAAAAAGCGTTTGTAGACAAACTGGCTGACATGTCATGCTAAGTATCCTGCAGCTCGAACAATTATGTATATAGTTTATGTATGTTATATTTATAACATTGTGTTAGACGGGAATTTTCAAACTTGAAAATAGTAAACAGATATACTTTGAAGATGGATTTAAATGAAAGACAAATATTTTTACTATATATAAAAAAAAAACATTTATAAGAAAGACATATATATTATTTCAAACATTTTCAATATATAAAAAAAAAAACATTTATATATATAAATGTTATAGGTTTATAGATTATTGGGATTTATAGGAATATAGGAATATCAAGAATAAAGACAACATTATGTTTGATAAGTTAATGAATTATAAATGTTGCTAATTTGTTGAATATAATAGGTATGTAGGTATATAGTATATCTATAAGTATATAGTCTATAAGTTAATATATGTGTCAGTTTATTTTGCAATCCTTTTTGAAGCTTTCGACACATTGTTACTTCAAACAAATCATCAGCCTAGTTCAACAATTAAGTAATAATTAACTGTTCGATATTATGTAGCTGCAGGTTCTAAAAATGATGCCATAGTATGCGCAGCTTGATTCGGGCTCAGTCAATTATTTCAAGTGTGCTCCTGTTATGCATATTAATATGGTTCATGTTGTACTCGATGTTGGCCATGTCGACTCTTGTGCGGCTCCGGGCTCTGAGCAGAGCGTGTCATTAATTGTGCTTTACAAACTGTTTAATTACCTTTAACTGTCACTCTCACATCAAGCTCGTCATGTCAAACAAGCTGGGCCGAGTGTTGAAAACTCCGGCGTTGAAGGGAACATGAAACATGACCTGAGAGTTGGCCAAGAGTCGACAGGAGCAAAGTTTTAATTGATTTCCTGCACTGGAGAATGAAATGGAAAAAAGTCATAATTCATCACATCCATAGATGATAAATGTACATACATATAAATACAATTTGCTGGAAAAGTCATCGCCAGGTGCGGCCGGCCGGAGGATTCCGTGCTGCAACTTTGGCTTCTAAGTAGAAGCTGCAGCTCGTAAAGTTTCGTTTAGTGCAGTGCATTTCTTGCGGCACAGTTCGCACAGCACTCAAAAATAAAGGCAACAAAGTGTTTTGTGTTTTGTGGCAAGCTTGCGACAACACACATAAAGTTGTCAAGCACTCGAGCGTTGCCAAAGCCCGACAGCCTTATACTCATGCCACATGCCGCATGCCGCCTGCCGCACGCCCCCGGCTGCAGGCATAGACGCCCCATAGCCCTATGGCTGAGAGATAGAAGCCAAATGTGCCATTTATAATTTAAGCGGGATTAAAGTTTCGCCCACAATGGGAAACTTGTGCTGCCTGCACGGGCAGCCTGAACATGCCGCGCGTCAAAAACTTTTTATGGCCCCAACTGAAAACTGCCCAAGAGTTGCCTGCAAATTTGACAGCAAGCCGCGCCCCAAACATACCAAAGCGGATTAGGCGGCCAGCCAGCCCAAGGCGCACTCCAAGTGCTCCACACACACACACACACACACACACACAATTCTCTTCTTCTCTTCTTTCTTTGGCACACAGAGATTTCTGCGCCGGCGACTCCTTCCGCAGCTGCTGCAAAGCAATTGCAGTTTAGGGCCCACAAGGGCGGACGACTGGCACGGAAAAGCGCACGCGGAAAAGCACGTGAAAAATAGAAACAAACACAAGCACATACACACACATACACAGAGCAACAAGCATCAAACACAGCGCCTGCAATTTCGCAAATTGTCTTGAAATGCCAGAACGCTTTTCCGAGCCACCGCAGCGCTCGGAAATGCCAACGGCATTCGTTGGATTAATTATGAAAAATACCCACGCCCACTGTGAAGGGGAGAGGGGCGGCTGTGCTGGGCGAATGCATTGTTGTGAATTGTACACAAAAATGCGCCCACCTTCGCCCTCCCCCTCCCCCTCTCTGCGTGTGGGGGTCAGCAACTTAATTGTCTGTTAAGTGTCACAGTGCGGATGGTTGTGCTGTGGGCGGTGCACAGTTACAATAGCATCACTTGGCCAACCCGTTTCGCCGGCTGCCACCGGGCCCCGTTGTGTTCGGATGTGTGTCGTCGGCCATGTTTTGACACTTGGAAGCAGTCGCCGCACTTCCTGCAGCAGCTGCCACAATGCCTGCCCCACAACTAACTCGCAGTTGCACCTCAAGGCCGATCGTCTTTATTTGACGTAAGCTATGCACAGCAGCAGGCCGTAAACTATATCTGGCTATTAAGTGTGCTAATTCGAGTCCTTGCCAAAGCGAAAGAACATTTGATAAGCAACGAATAAATAAAAGAACATTTTATGTCAGCCACGGAGGCTCGATCCCTAAACTCTGTGCCACAACTAGGCCCACAGCGCTACTCAAGCGATTATAAATGGAATGCTCTGTTTCATTTAA